AGGTGGCCGGCACCCGTGTGCACACGCCGGTAAGCAGAAGAGCAACTGGTGATGGCATGTGCCTACAGAGAGGGCCCTGCATGCCACCTCTGGCATGCATGCCATAGGTTCACCATTATGGTTATAGGGCTTGTGCCTGAGCAGGGGGTTGGACCTGGTGGCTCAGCAGACTGATAGCATTGTGATTAACACCAGCTGTCTGTAAGTTCGAATCTCACCAGGCTCAAGGTTGACTCAGCCTTCAACTCTGTTACTCTGTTGTTTCGCATCCAATTTCCCCTGACTCTATTCCTCCACTGCAGCAGTGCTGTTGGTTACTATCCCCTCTCATTCTACTACCGGTAGCAGGGGAAAAGATAATAAGCCACATGCCGGCTGAGGATTTTGCCACCCTATGCGTATGCAACCCAGGAAGGCTGGTGTGAATCTGCAAGCTATCCGTCCGTCGGAGGAAATTAAAGGGGAGGATGTGTGTTCTTCCTTCCAATAAAAGTTGTTTACAGACAAAACATCGCCCGAGCAGCCTCCTTCATTTGCTGCCACAGATGCGTTTTCACCATCCGCCTCCTCCCGGTCTGTTTTCTCCCACACTGACATTTTGCACAAAAAAAAAAAAAAAAACCACGTTGCCAAGGAAACCGGACGATCTCATGAAATTGGTACTACCCATTCAACTCAAGACGTGGGAGGAAAAAGGACACGGATGCCAAGGAAGGGCTTAAGTGGAAGAACGGATGCCCAGCTGCAGATCTAACACGGGGACGTTGCAAAATGACCACGAAGGGCAAACCGACATGTTATGATTCTTGTGGAATAAAGAGCCTTTATTCCAAGAAGGGGGAAAAAAAATCCCCATTTTTTTCCCCCTCCTCTCAGCTTTCACTACAAAGGTTACCATTTGTAGGGAAGGGGGTTAAAAAAAAAAAAGAAAAAAGAAGAAGAATGTCTTGCCATTTTTTTCCATTCTGGAAAGCAAAATTAGGAAAAGAAAGTGAAGCTCAGCAGCCCTGGCGCTTACCCGTGTAAGCGATTTGATGCGTTTCTTTTTCATCCAAATTGATGGGAAAACAAACTATTCTCAGCCCAACGGCCTTCTGCTCCCAGACACCCTGCAATTATTCCGTCTCCAGAGCAGGACTCCTCAATCTGTGGTCTGTGGGCCACCGATGGTCAGCCACGAGAGTGGAAGCAGCCCCTGTCTCTTCACCTAAATCAGTGTTTCTCAACCTTGGTAGCTTGAAGATGGGTGGACTTCAACTCCCAGAAACCCCCAAGCCAGCATTGCTGGCTGGGGGATTCTGGGAGTTGAAGTCCACCCATCTTCAAGCTTCCAAGGTTGAGAAACACTGACCTAAATGGATTACTGGCAGGACCCGATTTGCTCCAGAGATTAGGATTCAAGTAGCAGCCTGAAGTTTTGCAATTCAGAGATCGGATCAGAGCAAAGTGGATCCGTAATCGACGGTGAGTCGATGCTAAGTAGAACTGACGCCTCGCATAAGCCGGCTGAAAAAAAGTGTGTGGAGAAAATACGTGGATAAATATCTAAACTATTAGAGGGCTAGAGATCAATCAATCAATTCAGAACAGAGCCGGAAGGGACCTTGGAGGTCTTCCAATCCAGCCCCCTGTTTAAGCAGGAGACTCCGTACCATTCCAGACAAGTGTCTGATTGCCTCTTCTTAAAAGCCTCCAATGATGGAGCAGCCACAACTTCTGGTGGCAAGCTGTTCCACTGATTAATTGTCCTCACTGTTAGGAAGCTTCTCCTTAATTCCAGGTTGCTTCTCTCCTTGATTAGTTTCCATCCATTCTTTCTTGTCTTGCCTTCTGGTGCTTTGGAAAATAAATTGTCGTCCCCCCCCTCCTCATTCTGACAGCCCCTCAAATAATGGAACGACTGCTCTCACGTCAGCCCTAATCCAACTTTTCTTAAGGTTAGCCATACCCAATTCTTGCAACCGTTCTTCATATGTTTTAGTCTCTTAAATCCTCTTCGTTGCTCTTCTCGGCACTTTTTTCAAAGTCTCAACATCTTTTTTTTGTAATGTGCTGACCAAAACTGGATGCAAGTATTCCAGCTGTGGCCTTACTAAGGCTTTATAAAGAGATGCTAATACTCCACGTGATTTTGATTCTATGCCTCTGTTTATACAACCAGGGATCTCCTCACAGTCACTCATGCCCTTGTCACCTCACGGTTAGATTATTGCAATGCGCTCTACATGGGGCTATCCTTGAAAAGTGTTCGGAGACTACAGTTGGTCCAGAACGCAGCCACGCGAGCTGTCATGGGTGCACCTATATACACCCACATTACACCAATTCTCCGCGAGCTGCACTGGCTCCCTATTGGTCTCCGGTCACAATTCAAGGTGTTGGTTATTACCTTTAAAGCCCTACATGGCTCAGGGCCAGGCTATCTTCGAGACCGCCTTCTACCGCATAGCTCCCAGCGACCGGTAAGATCCCACAGAGTTGGTCTCCTCCGGGTCCCGTCAGCTAAACAATGCCGGCTGGCGGGCCCCCGGGGGAGGGCCTTCTCTGTGGCTGCCCCAGCTCTCTGGAACCAGTTACCTCCTGAGGTCAGAACGGTTCGCCCGAACTGGCAGCGGAAATTGCCAGTGGGTGGCCCACCCGCCCACCTGCCCCAGCTCTATGCCATCCTATTTAGGCACATTTTTGAGGCCGGGTGCATGCGTGAAAGGCGCGCGCGAGTAAAACACATGCAGGGAAGGCTGGTGCGAGCATGAACCGGTAGTAACATAATGTGAAACCCACCGTTGACGAAAAACATTTATAATTTTAAAAGTCCCTCATAGAACGACAAAGTTGATTAAAGCTAGAAAACTTAGGCAGTCACTCAACAAATCCATCCTTCTGAAGGACACCAGATTTCACGGCTTAGGTCAGTGATGGCTAACCTTTTTGCCATGCTGTGCCAAAAGCGGGGGGGGGAATGTGGAGGGGGTCACGCGTGTGCGTACCCACACCAGTGGTGGGTTGCCCCCGGTTCACACCGATTCTATAGAACCGATAGTAAAACCGGCGGGAGGCTCCGCCCACCAACCCCAACGTCATCAAAATGCGCAGAAGAGCGCACGGCCCCGCTGCGAACCGGTAGTAAAGGTAAGTAGAACCCACCCCTGACCCACACCCATAATTCAATGCCCCCCACGCATGCGTGTGCGACCCCACGCATGCACGAGTGACCCCCCCCCCCCGTGTTCCCCTTGCTTTTGGTGGACAACGGCAAAAAGGTTACCGGTGGGCCCTGTAGGCCCGTTTTTCGCCCTCCTCAGGCTCCAGAGGCTTTCTTGGAGCCTGGGGAGGGCAAAAAACGGCCTCCCCCACCCTCCCGGAGGCCCTCCGGAAGCCGGAAATGACAATTGGCTGGCCAGTGCACACATAGGCACTGGAGCTGAGCTAGGACAATGATCGCTCTGCGTGCGATAGGTTCGCCATCACGGGCTTAGGTCATAAAATCAGCACGAGAAATATTCTCCCCGTCAGCACCCTGGGCAGCATTTATGCAACACACAAAGCTGGCAGGTAGAAGCTATTTTTAAAAAGAAAAACATTCCTTTTCTGACATCAAGCTGTACAAACAATCAACCTGATCAAGACCATCGGTGGTAGCCTGGGGGGGGGGGAGGTGGGGGGGGGGGAAACGTCTTAGCCAAACTCTTAGCGTTGCTGAAACAGCCATCATGCCCCCAAACCAGGTTCAAATTGCAGATCTGTCCTGGCCAAGTTACAATCACAAAAATGAGCGTTCGGATTAAAGGGCGAGCGGGTGGAGAAGAGAGAGAGATTAAAAAAGTGGAAATCGAACAAGCGGAGGCAGAGTAAATAGCACATAAATGAATAAAAGTTAGTAAAGAAATATAGGTAAGGGAAGGCAGCCAACTAGCTGAGATGAGAGTTTAGCCCCCTATCAAAACACAGGTAGTCCTCAATTTATGACTACAACTGAGGCCAACATTTCTGTTGCTAAGTGAAACAGTCGTTCAGTCAATTTTGCCCCGTGTTGTCACCTTTTTTGCCACCGTTGTTAAGTGAATCACTGCAGTTGTTGAGTCAGCAGCACGGCTGTTAAGTGAATCACTGCAGTTGATAAGTTAGTAACCCAGTTGTTAAGTGAATCTGGCTTCCCACCCACCCACCCCCTCCTTGACTTTGCTTGTCAGAAGGTTGCAAAAGCTGATCACGTGATCCCGGGAACAATGCAACCGTCATAAGTACATGCCAGTTGCCAAGCATTTGAATTTTAATCATGTGACCCTGGGGAGGCTGCAAAGGACATCACTGAGAAAAACAGTTGGGAGTCCCTTTTTTCAGTCCTGTTGTAACTTTGAAAGGTCACTAAATGACCTGTTGCAAGCTGAGGAACTGCCTAAATAATCAAATTATCTCTTTCTAGCATTTCAGCTGCAGAATATGAATGTGCGCAGTCAGTGGCAACCACGGGAAAGAGTTTTCTTTTTTTAAGAAAAGAACCCCCCCCTTTTTATGGGTGGGGCAATTTATGTTTATAAGGGGGCGGCCCTTCATTCATAGGACTGAGGCCACCATCTTTTTTTTCTCTCTCCTGTCCAATAATCATTTCCTTTTAACAACCCCATAATCCCTTGAGGGGTGGAGTCTGGGCAACTGAATGGAGCTGAGTGTTTTAATGGCCAGATGCCCTTCCTGTTGCCGATGAGGAGTTATATTCAGCAGATATATTCTCATCGTGCCCAGAGAGAGAAATATCTGCCTCTACCTAGGATCGAACTCACAGCCTCCTGATTGTGAGGCGAGAACTCCACCTCTAGGCCACCGCACACACACCCTGTCCAATAACGCACTACTATAATAGATTCTAACCGCAGTCGTAATTCGAGGACTACCTGCCCCGGAGATTATTTTTGATGCTTGGTTTTTGCCGATGAAGCCAGTGTAAGATGTAGTTGTGCCGCGAAAAGAGAAAGACAGAAAAGAAGATGGAGCCTTCTTACTCTCAGAGTCACTGATGCTGGTGCTGCTCCGTCTCTTCATCTTCTCCAGATGTTCCTCATATTGGAAGTGCCTCTCCTTTATGGGAGAAGAGAAGTCCTCTATCACCGCATCAAACTCGCACAGGACGTCCGCCAGTTCTCCACTGTCTTCTAACAAATCTGCCAAACCAGAACGCAGAAGCATTTTCATCCTATCGCTTGCCTACAGCTGAGATAATAACAGAATAACAGACCTTGGAAGGGACCTTGGAGGTCTTCTAGTCCAACCCTTGCTCAAGCAGGAAATCCTATACTGATTCAGACCAATGGTTCTCCAATCACTTCTTAAAAGCTTCCAGTGATGGAGCACCCAGAACTTCTGAAAGCAAGCCGTTCCATTGGTTAAGGTGGAAATTTCTCCTCAGTTCTAGGTTGGTTGTCTCCTTGATTAGCTTCCATCCATGGCTTCTTGTCCTCCTTTGGAGAATAGGTGGGCTCCACGTTGAACATCTCTATCTCCCCTAAGGTCCTCCAGGACTAAGAGAAACAGCCTTCCAAGCAAAAGACATCTTCCTTGTTTAATATGGGAGGACAGCCCTCCATGTATGGTGGCCAAGACTGAGGAAGAATCTGGTCACACTTTTTCAAAAGGGGAAAGAAGATCATGGTAGGGCTTTCTTTGCCAAACCCATGTTACTATTCTCCTACGGGAGCCAGAAGATGGACTTTTTGTGTTTGGTTATGCACGGTTTCAAGGAGAACCACTAGGTTACTTCAATCTGGGGTTCCACTCCAGGAGAAATGGCTCAGGTGACATCATCTGAAACCGTGGGTGCTCCATAACTGGATGTTTTTAAGAAGAGTCTAGAGTCTGAAGTTGTATAGGTTCTCCTGCTTGAGCAGGGGGCTGGACTAGAAGACCCCCAAGGTCCCTTCCAGCTCTATTCTATTCTAACGTCTTGAGCAGTCTTCCAATATCTGATGGGCTCCTACAAAGAGGACGGGGTCAACCTATTTTCCAAAGCACCGGAAGGCAAGACAAGAAAAAAATGGATGGAAACTATTATGATATCTGTAGAGTGTGATCTCAGCTGGGGCTTCATAGTGGCTGGTTTTAGGTCAGTGTGACCAGTTGGTTCATCTTGAGACGCAGGTGAACTGCAAATCCCAAAATGGAGCCATCCTCCATCATCACAAGTTCTTCCCTCATCCTCCAATGCTCAGTTCCTCTACATACAGTGAATTATTCTGCTTGATACATACGACCCTCAAAAGTGGTTTAGAGTGCAGAAAAGATGGATCCAAAGAAGACCATCATCAGTGAAGGGTAGATGCATCACTTTGAAGACCAAACCCACCCTTGTTCTGGCTTCAGGTGAGCCAGTTCTACATCTAGGGTGGAGGGTCTCGCTTGGAGCGTTGAAATACCTGAAGGAAATTTTTAAGTAGTTGTAATTTTCTTCCTTCTGCTGGCTCCAGGTTTGTCCCTGGTCTGGGAGGCAACTGGACCACTGGAGATGACCCCCACCCTCCTCACCTTGAGAGGATGGCCCCATTTTTCAAGACTCATTTCCCAACCAGTCTTCCCATCCACTAATGGATGCTTCCTCCCATTAGATCCTGGCTTTGTCCTCCATGGCTGTATGTTCACACCAGCCGAACGCCTGAGACCTCCTGGTTGCTTCTGCAGAAGCCTGCTCAGATGCAACTAGAAGGTCTTCAGATGTTTATGTAGATTCTCAAGTCATCCAGGTCATGGTTGTCCCAAAAGGGTTGTCCCTTTTTCCAGAGGCAGCTGGACTTTCTTTGTTTTTCTTTGAAGACATTTCGCTTCTCATCCAAGAAGCTTCTTCAGAAGCTTCAGAGCTTCTCTAGAACAGAAGAAGCTTCTTGGATGAGAAGTGAAACATTTTCAAAAGGATGTCTATGGAGATTCTCAAGTCATCCAGGTCATGGCTGTCCCAAAATAAGTTTTTCAAGAGGCAGCTCTTGTTTTTCTTTGATGACGTTTCGCTTCTCATCCAACAAGATCATCTGAAGAGCTGAAGAAACTTCTGGGAGCCAGAACAAGGATGGGTTTGGTCTACAAAGTGATGCATCTGCCTTTCAGTGTTGATGGTCTTCTTTGGATCCATCTCTTCTGAACTCTAAACGATTTCTGAAGGGTGTATCAAGCAGAATAACTTGCTGTCTGCAGAGGAACTTGCATCTCATCTTCCCCTCAAGGACAAATTCCTTGTGTGCCCAATCACACTTGACCAATAAAGAATTCTATTCTATTCTATTCTATTCTATTCTATTCTATTCTATTCTATTCTATTCTGAACCAAGAAGCTTATTCAGCTCTTCAGATCTTCTTGGATGAGAAGCGAAACGCCTTCAAAGAAAAACCAGGAAAGTCCACTTTGCCTCTTGAAAAAGGAGATCTTCAGAATAACAGAGTTGGAAGGGGCCTTGGAGATCTTCTAGTCCACCTCCCTGCTCAGGAAACCCCCCTGCTGCGGAAACCTGCTGTCCCACTGCTCAGGAGAACCTGTGCCATTTCAGGCAAAGGGTTGTCCAATCTCTTTGTTAAAAATTTTCAACGTTGGCGCTCCCACAACTTCTGGAGTTGCAACTCTTGCTCTCAGGTGTTCAGGGTGGACTACACAGCCGTGGAGACCAAAGCCAAGATCTAAGGTGAGGTTGCACCTTCTGACTGAGCCTACAAAAGGAAGACTTGGGACAATGAGTCAACCCTTTGCCGAGTGGGTGGTTCAAGGCATTGAGTGAACCCCAAAAGAAGACCTCTCCAGTCTCCAGGTGAAGCACCTTGGGTGAAAGCCCCCCCAACAGCACCCCTTCACACCACCCACTGAATGGCTGGGAGAGCTTGAACTGGCTTCTCCGCAGCCCTGAACCTGGTCAATGATGAAGGATCTGCGTTCACGTGTTGAGTCTGCAGCCCCCTCCGGATCCTTAATTCGCGTATCGTGCGAATGCAACCTAAAGACAGATTTAGAGGCGAGGGTCTCCTGGGGGTCTTCCTCCCTGGTCTTCCTCCCCCGGCCACTCCTTTGTCTCCAGCGAGGGGACAAGCAAAGTGGGGAGAAGTCCGGGGGTCCCGTACTAGAGAGAGAGAGATTCTACTGGGCGGAATCGCCAACCCCGCGCCCCCGAGCGTCTTCTCGTCTTGCACGGGGGCAGCAGCGGGACCCTCCTAGTCCCGCGGAATCCCCCGACTCACCTTGGCCTCCGGGGCTCTTCTGCGCTTTGAAAGGCTTCATGGCATCGGCGGCCGAGCTGGAGAGCCGGGCAGAAGGCGAGAGCGCTGCGCCGCTGCCTTTGGCTGCTGTCACCGCCTAGAAAGAGGAGGAGGAGGAGGAGAGGAGGAGGAGGTAAAAGAAGAGGAGGAGGGGAGGAGAAGGAAAAAAGAAAGGAGGAAAAAGAAAGGAGGAGGAAAAAAGAAAGGAGGAGGAGGAAAAGGTAAAGGAAGAGGAGGAGGGGAGGAGGAGAGGAGGAAGAGGAAAAAAGAAAGGAGGAGGAGGAAAAGGTAAAAGAAGGGGAGGAGGGGAGGAGGAGAAGGGGAGGAGGAGGAAAAAAGAAAGGAGGAAAAAGAAAGGAGAAGGAAAAAAGAAAGGAGGGGAGGAAAAGGTAAAAGAAGAGGAGGAGGGGAGGAGGAGGGGAGGAGGAGAAAAAAGAAAAAGAAGGAGGGAGGAGGAGAGGAGGAAGAGGAAAAAAGAAAGGAGGAGGAGGGAAAGGTAAAAGAAGAGGAGGAGGGGAGAAGGAGGAGGGGAGGAGGAGGGAAAAAAGGAGAAAAAAAAAAGGAGGAGGAAAAAAGAAAGGAGGAGGAGGAGGAAGGCTGGAATGTCCTCTCACCCTACCTCTCCTCCGTCTAACTGAGCCTTTCTCCTAGGATACCACTAGTGCTAAATGGGCATCTCCACAACCAGTCGCAAGGTTTGCAAGGTTTTCAGGGCTTGGAGAACGGGGGGGGGGGGGAGGGAGAGGAGGAGCTTGGAGGGTGCAGCCTTTTGTGTGTGAACCCTGAAATCTGCGTCCTGGGACTTCAGCCCCCCCCCAACAGAAACTCCCTTCTTCAGCGGCTCCATGCATCGAGAAGTGCACCCAGCAACAACGCTGGACGAACAAGGTTGCCCATTAGGATTAGCTGATAGGACAATGTGGGTTGGAATGAACCTTGAAAGAGTTAAATATTTTGGTGGAAGCGTGCTTGAAAAACCTTCTCCTATAATGTCCATTCTCCATCGTTCAGGTCGTGGTTGCCCCCAATGTGCTCTTTCCAAAAAGGCAATTGGACTTTCTTGTTGTTGTTTTTTCCTTTGAAAACATTTCACTTCTCATCCAAGGAGCTTCTCCAGTTCCACACGTCTTCTCCAGAACTGAAGAAGCTTCTCAGGTGAGAAGCGAAACCTTTTCAAGGAGGGGAAAACCTCCCCAAGAAAGTCCAGTTGACTTTTGGATCAAAGCACCTTTGAGACTTCTTCTATATGATCCCTTGTAGCACTCTTGAGGAATTCTAGTTTAAAGTTTAATGAAGTGGGACTACGATAGAAGCTCCAATGGGTCCTTCAGCTCATCAAAATTGGTCCTTTTGAGGACGGCACTCAGAAGAAACATTTTCCCAGGGGTTTCCTCCTAGCAGCCCTCTACATGCTCTTGCCTTTATCCATGATCAGAGTTCCTCCATGTCCTGTAACATCCAGTTCTGGTCAGAACCGATAAAGTCAGCTTCGGAGTCACGGAAGAGTGGAGAAATCTCTCCAAGTATTGTTTAAGTGTCTCTTTATCTAATCCAATTGCTAAAAAAAAACCCAGACAAGGCAAAGAGTGTGTTTGGTTAGATCCTCAACTGTTGGCCAACACTTCCCAACAAGAGGCATCTGACTTTATCAAGCGCCTGGGGCATCTGCAATTCAATGAAAGTGAAACCTTCAGAATTAATGGCATAATAGAATAGAGTAGAATTCTTTATTGGCCAAATGTGATTGGACACCCAAGGAATTTGTCTTATGCTCTCAGTGTACATAAGGAGAATAAAATACATTCATAGAGAATAAAAAGATACAACACTTAGTGATAGTCAAGGTTACTAATATGCTATCAAATCATACTGGGAAACATAAAAACAATATAAATTGAAAGATACAAGCAACATGGTTATAGTAATAAGTGGGAAGAGATAGATACTTGAAAGGAAGAGAAGAATAATAGTAATGCAGCCTTAGTGAATAGTTTGATAGTGTTGTGGGAATTATTTGTTTTTCAGGAAAAAACTCTCCTTGTGTCTAGTTGTTCTGGTGTGCAGTGCTCTATAGCGTCGTTTTGAGGGTAGGAATTGAAACAGTTTATGTCCAGGATGGGAGGGGTCTTTAAATATTTTCACAGCCCCCTTTTTGACTCGTGCAGTAGACAGATCCTCAACGGAAGGCAGCTTGGTAGCATTATTAAATTATTAAATTACAGGAAGGTCAAGTTGTAATTTATTGCCAACGTAATTTATTTTCTACTTTTTCCTCCCTCCTTTCCCTGCAGGGGAAGTTTTAGTTATTGCTCCGTTCGGCTCATGCAAAACTGTAATCAGCGTCTCCCAAAAACCAGAGTCTCCAAAAAAACCCCCAAAAACAACCCCAGAAAAGTTGTTTCCGTTTCAAAGAAGCAATTGCAGCCAAACTGCAAGTCAAGCAAGAAAGATTATTCTTTCTAGTCCAACCCCCTGCTTAGGCAGGAAACCCTATACCACTTCAGACAAATGGTTGTCCAACCTCTTCTTAAAAGCTTCCAGTGTTGGAGCATTTACAACTTCTGGTGGCAAGCAGTTCCACTGGTTAATTGTCCTCACTGTTAGGGAATTTCTCCTTAATTCCAAGTTGCTTCTCTCCTTGATTAGTTTCCATCCGTTGCTTCTTGTCCTGCCCTCAGGAGCTTTGGAGAAGAGCTTGACTCCCTCTTCTTTGGGGCAGTCCCTGAGGTATTAGAAGACTGCTATCATGTCTCCCCTAATCCTCCTTTTCATCAAACTAGACATACCCAGTTCCTGCAACGTTGTAGCTCCAGGGAAAGCATCCCCAACCTGTAAGTAAGAAGTATTTCTTCCTGTCCATCTATTTCTCCTTGCACAAACTTAACAGCTCCCTGGCCCTGAGCAGGTAACTGGGGAAAGCTCAGGTAAACAAAACCCTCTGCCTAAATTGTGCAAATCCCCCTCCCTGACCCAGCTAAGGGGGTGACGCATCCGTCCTTGAGTGGGATAAAACTAGGCAGTGATACAAAATTTTTGCTGCCATCTTATCTTGGTATTGTGGTCTGCGGGAACGGCCTTGGGAGGCCGAAGGGAGAGATTGTAATTTACCGTAGAACGTCCTGTGCAAACTACTATCTCAGGCTCCACAAGAAGGGGGGAGAGCAAGGGGGGGCTTTCACAAAGGATCTTCCCTAGTTTTTCTGGAGAGTAACGAAAGAAAAAGGGAGGAGGAGAAAGGCAGGAAGTCTCGCAACGTTCTGTCAATGCAACGTTGCAACAAAGGTCGAGGGAGTTTTCTGGTTGTGCTTCTTGACTTGACAACTTTGGAGGGTTAACTGCTTGGTGGACAGGCGTTGTCTCTCCTTCCACTTTTTACAGTGTGCAGGAAGCATTAAAAATAGGGATGGATTAGAGGGCTTCTCCAGTTTCCTTTACCCTTCCCTCTTCTTTTCCCTTTTGCCTACTCTTCCCCTCCATCTTTCTTTGTCTTTCTCCTTCCCATTCCCATTGCGCTTCCTTTCTCCTCTTCCTTCTCTCCTCTTCTTTCTTCCCTTTGACCTTCTCTTCCTTCCCCTTCTTCTTTCCTTCCACTTTCTTCCTTTTCCTTTCCCCTTCTCCTTCCCTTTCCTCTTCCTTTCCCCTTCCTTTTCCTCTTCCCTTCTCTCCTCCCTTTCTCCTTCTTTTCCCTCTTCCTTTCCTCTTTTCCTTCCCTTAGCCTCCCTTCCCTCTTCCTTTCCCTTTCACCATCCTATCCCTCTTCCTTCTCTTCTTTCCTTTCTTTCTCTTCTTCCCTTCTCTTCCGTCTTCCTTTCCCTTTCTCCTTCCCATCCCTCTTCCTTTCTCTTTTTCCTTCCCTTCCCTTCCCTTTCCTTTCTTTCTCTTCCCTCTTCCTTCCCTTCCCTTCTCTTCCTTCTTCCTTTCCTTTCCCTTCCCATTTCTCTTCCTTTCTCCTTTTCCTTTTCTTCCCCTCTCTTCCCTTTCTGAGCACTTAAGTAAGGTGGACTCTTATGTATCTTTCTAGTTTTTTCACATCAAAGTTTTTAACTTTCACACAAAAGGCCATCTACCAGGTACTGGTCTACTTTTTCATGTAGAGCTTCACCATTTTCACCTAGAACTTCACGTAATGTGTCCCATTCTACTTTCCCACAGAGAACGATATATCCACGTTGTGAGTAGAAGGATCTCAAATGTACCTTTACTGAAGACGGAGGCAGAATAATGGTTATTTTGCAAATATTCCTCCCCCTACCACAAAGTCTATTTGGAGGATCTAATTATGCTTGATGGGATTACAAATTATATTTTTAGTTGAGGGGTCTTTGGTGCTCTCTGAGCTTGTTTTCTTGCAGACGTTTCATTTTCCAAACCAGGTAACATATATATGTTAGTTGTTGGAGAGACTTTCCAACCGAAGAGGTCATGTTCCCTCTAGTGGAGAAATAGAGCAGATGAAGACAACATCTCCAGAAGAAGGCTTGCAATGACACCACTTCAGTCCTTCAGTATTCCTTACATTTCAGCCCTGGACGATTCCCTCCTTCGAACCTTTGAGGCCTCTCTGACATCTAAAAGGTCTCCTGTTATAAGTGGGCCACCTTTAGATGTCCCAGTGGAGGTGAGGCATTAGTTATCCACCAAATCTTTATGATGGTCATAGAGCCAGCATAACGAAGGTGGGATACAAGGAAATAATTCTTTTAAAAAAGCTAAAACAAAAGTTACACAAAATTAACATGAAAAAAATACACTTTAAAAAAACCCCATATCTATCTCTATCATCTGTCTATCCATCCATCCATCATCATCAATCATCTATCTCTATCATCTATCCTATCCTATCAACCATTCATCCATCCATATCTATCATCTATCTCTATCATCTATCCATCCATCCATCATCTATCCATCATCATCTATCTCTATCATCTATCCTATCAACCATCCATCCATCCATATCTATCATCTATCTCTATCATCTATCCATCCATCCATCATCTATCCATCATCATCTATCTCTATCATCTATCCTATCAACCATCCATCCATCCATATCTATCATCTATTATCATCTATCTATCTATCTCTATCATCTATCCATCCATCCATCATCTATCGATCATCTATCCTATCCTATCATCCATCCATCCATCTCTAATATCTATCTGTCTGTCTATCTATCATGTCTGTCTGTCTATCTAGTCTATCTAATCTATCTATCTATCTATCTATCTATCTATCTATCTATCTATCTATCTCTGCGCTGCCTCCCTTTCCATTCTGCTGAGTTTTAATTAATATGAATACATTAAATTTGAGATCCTTATCGTTTTAACATTTGTTTTATTGAATGTAAGTCGCCTAGAGTTGCCTTCGTGTACAGATTTGATAAATAAATATTAAACATTTTGAATGAACTTTTGTGGGGAAAGAGGTTGTGTTTATTTAATGTTTTTGATGCTCCCTGTAAATTTATCGTTATTTATTTTATAATTTTTAATTTTTTTTTCAAGCTTTTTTAAAAAAATATTGTTTATATTCCACCCTCCTTTATGCTTGTCCATGACCTGATAAAAGTTTTGATTGACACAACATCTAATCCACAATCTATTCCAGAAGAAAAACTTTGATGTGTATCTACATGGGATGGGGGGTTTCTGTAAAATGAAAAGTCCTGTCATTAACCAAGATACGGCCACTGGGCAACAATACAATGTAATTATAGGTAGTCCTCAACTTACAAGAGTTCACTTAGTAACTGTCCAAAGTTACAACGGCACCAAAAAAAGTGACTTTCTCGCTCTGACGACCGTTGTGGCATCCCCCCCAGTCATGTGATCAACATGCAAAGGCTTGGCAACTGGCATGTACTTATGACAGTTGCAGTGTCCCAGGGTCACGTTGTTAGGAAATGAGTATTACCTACCTTGTTGGGTTGGGAATATATAAACCATCAATATAGCTTTAAGACTGCTGTATTGCATCATACCATGTCCTGATTGGTTAGTTCTGTAGCCAATCTCCTAAGAGGGAGCTAGAAACATGGTTTGTTTCTCTTTTGTTGTTCTTGTTCTGTGATATCTCTGTATGCTACTGTTTGCAAATCCAGAAGAACTGTTTATTGTGAATGACTACGACGACTGGTAAGAAGACTTTGTTATTGGATTATCCCTGGACTGTAGTTTTGCTATCTCCTGCTTTATATATGTATGACCTGGACCAGTGATGGCTAACCTTTTTGCCATCGCGTGCCAAAAGCGGGGAAGCACAGGGGGGTCACGTGCACGTGTGCCCACACCCATAATTCAATGCACCCCACCCGCCGCGTATGCATGCGCAACCCCCCGCTTTTGGTACGCAATGGCACGGTGGGCCTGGTAGGCCTGTTTTTTGCCCTCCCCAGGCTCCAGAGGCTTTCTTGGAGCCTGGGGAGGGTTAAAACGGCCTCCCCCACCCCCCGGAGGCCCTCCGGAAACCGGAAACAGCCCGTTTCCTGACTTCCGGTGGGCCCAGAAGGCCCAAAAATCAGCTGACCTGTGCATGCATGCGCACTGAAGCTGAGCTAGGGCAACGCTCACGTGCCCACAGATATGGCTCCAAGTGCCACCTGTGGCACGCGTGCCATAGGTTCGCCATCACAGACCTGGACTGTTTATTGGACTGTGCCTTACTATTTCCTGAAAGTAAACACAACTGGGTGTATCTGTGTGTTGACTGTGTTTATTCGTACCTACTCTCAATCGCTTTCATGTACACACCCTTGCTATTCAAGGGTTACTCTGCGAATTCCTTAACACACGTGTTCTCTTTTTGCAACCTTCTGATGAGCAAAGTCAACGAGGAAGCCAGATTCGCTTTCAACCGTGTTGCTAATTTAACAACTGCAGTGATTTAACAAGTGTGGCAAAGAAGGTCGTAAAATGGAGCAAAATTCACGTAGCAATTGTCTTGCTTAGCAATGGAAATGTTGGGCTCTATTACGGTCATAAATTGAGGAGCGCCTGTATATTAAAACAGATTAAATTGGTTACTGTAATTCTGAGTACAATTGCACTGTAATGCAATTGTAGAATTTAAGATACCATATTCGGTTGGTTATAAACACCCAACGTCAGCAGCAAGTGTACAAAATAATTTATTACAGCATTACATTGTTGAACTCTTTACAGTAAAGTTTTCATTCAACTATCGATCCTAAGTAAATGACAAAGGAGATTGTCTTCATGACATCTTGGTAAAACTTCCCTTTTTAAATTTTGCATAGGACCTCCGTCATTTAAATATTTACATTACTCAAAAAAAAAAAAAAAAATTGAAAACAAACTGGTTCCATTATTATTTTTTTTCAAAACAAAAGATTTTTTCTTTTTATACAAGCCACAGTGACTTTTCTTTTCAGGAATATTTATTTCATTTTCAGGAATATTTATTTATCTCCTGAAGAGGGGGGGAAAAACATTTAAAACTGAAACAAAACATTGATATGTTATACGTGAAGTGCAGGTACGTTAACTTATAAAAAAATAAACGGGGGAAAAAAGATGAAATGCAATGTATAATTAGATGAAGTTGTGCTTTTAAAAAAAAATAACCTTACTCAACGTTAACAGCTTTACAGCATGTAATACAACAATATTTTTTTTCCGACTATTGGCTTCTGATTCATTTCTCAAACATTTTAATGTAGCTCACCGTTATTATTACGACCTCATTCTCCGTTAATTCTCTCCCTTCTGTTTTGGAAGTGAAATGTTTTTTTAAAATTCCTAAGTAATAAAAAAGGTAACTTAATCGTCATAATGGCAACTTAATGGTATTAAATGTTTAATGGATCGTTGAAAAGAATCATTACGAACCAAAATAATTTACAGCTTTAAAAAACACATTCTCCATTTTATAAATCCGAAAGCGCTTTTCCAATAAATCAGAATTTCCACACAATACGAGGAAACTGACAAAACTCTGCCAGTACCCATCACGATCCATGCTTTGAAAGAAATGGAAAATAATATTTGTAGCTCAGGGTTGAAATGAAAGGATCCTTGATGCTCTCTGAGGTTGGTGGTTTTCTTGCAGAACGTTTCACGACCCAACTAGGTAACGTCATCAATGCAAGAAGGGAGAGGGGTTTTGCCCTGTGTTTGTTACCTAGTTGGGCAATGAAATGTCTTGCAAGAAAAAAACCCAGTTCAGGGAGCACCAAGGACACCACCGAAACATAAAACCGATGAAAAATATGTGTCGAGGCTATATTTATCCTGGTTTGTTAACTTCCACATGCAGGACTTTCCACGGATGGTGACACAGACAAGATGGCGGCCTCTTCTCAGATTCTCCTCAGATGGACACCTTCCTTGCAAAGCCATCCAACACGTTTTGATAGAAGTGATCGTATTTATTGGCATATTCAATGGAATTTATGGGTCGACGATTCAGAATAGAAAGATTTATAGCTGTACAAAGTATAAACACAACCAGTATTATGCAAAAAAAAAAAAAAAAGGCTGTTTATATTAATATTGGCAGCTCTTGTTGAGGGAAAAAAGGAGTTTCAGCACAGTAGATTTGCCTCCAGTTTCCCGGGTTGGACAGCTGAGTGGGATCCGATGAGATCCAGCCGGAAGATCACGGACGATCCCTGGACTGTCAGGAGCTAGTCCCGCCTTCTGTTTCAAATCTCATTGGTCAGCACTTCATGATTGATGGCCATATGATTCATGGGGGCAAAGCAACCGTCCTCGTCACTGGTTGGAGACATGAAGGCCGTCGCTAAAGGGAACATTTTGTGGCACGCGGTCCGATACGCCTCGCTCTGGCTGTGGCATTCGCCAAAGGTGCCGTCACGCAAGAAATCCAAAACCGTCGTTAAAATCTGCAGATTAACACATGAGCAGAAGCGTCAAAAGCAGAATTCTTCATCAGATTTAATACTGGTAGTCCTCCACTTACGACAGTTCGTTTAGTGACTGTTGGAACGGCAGTGAAAAAAGTGACTTAGGACTGTTTTTCACATTTATGACTGTTGTGGCATCCCCTTGCTGACATGATAAAAATTCAGAAGCTTGGCAACTGACTCATATTTATGACGGTTGCCGTGTCCCGGGGTCACATGATCCCTTTTTGTGACCTTGTGACAAGGAAAGACATTGGGGAAGCCAGATTCACTTAATAACCATTATTAACTTGACAACTGCACTGATTCACTTAACAACAATGGCAGGCAAGGTCGTAAAATGGGGGAAAAACTCACTCAACAAATGTCTCACTTAGCAACAGAAAGTTTTGGCTCCACTGTGGTTGTAAGTTGAGGACTATGAATGGAATTGTAAGATCCAAAATGGAAATTACAAACACCGTCCAAATGGAGATAAAATATTTTTTTGTCAATTGTTTTTCTTTCTTCAGCTTTGTGAGAAGGTAACGCCAAGGGACAAATATGACAAAAATAGCTGTGGTCATAAGTCGAGGACTACCTGTAGAGGAGATGACCAGGCTGAGCCGGAGGGAGGTGTTAAACACGTCATAAGTCACAAGTCCCTGAGCGTCCGCAAGAGAGCTAAGCCCAGCCCATTTTGAATTCCTATCTTATCTCCCGCTCATTTCCCTTGACTGTTAGTTGGCCAGATTCTTGTAGACACCTTAAGCTTGCAATAAATCTTTATAACCATTTAATCTGCCGGGATCTCCTGATTTCCCTGGTACTTTATTTTTACCTTGTTTCTGTCTCTCATAGATAGATAGATAGATAGATAGATAGATAGATAGATAGATAGATAGATAGATGATAGATAGATAATAGATGGATGATGAGAGAGAGAGAGAGAGAGAGAGAGAGAGAGAGAGAATGAGAGAATCAAACATCTATTGAAAGGATGTGCTATTTGGGATCCCCAAACTAGGGGAAAAACTTTATTTTTACCTTCACGTTTCTGTCTCTCATGGCTTCGTCGAGTCTAGTAGCAATGGCGATTGCTTTCTCTTGCCTTGAATTATCCAGGAAATACATCATTTTGGCACCTCCAAGAGAGGGAAAAAAGCAGTTTATTAAAAGAAAAGGATGTTCCTTTTATATAAAGAAAAAAAAACAGGTTTTTAGTGGCTGCAGTCCATTATACTTTATATTAATCCATTTGAAACAATCACACAGAGGAGTATATTAAGATTTTAAAAAATGGAAGACGTTCGATCTTATCTATTAGGCATTAGAGGAATATATTTATTTGCCAGATGCTATTATCGCCGTTCTGGAATACAAGTATCAGAGATTTTTATTACGTGGAAAAAGATCCTGCCTCTGATGGCATTATTGACCGAACTCTTCATCTTCTTTTAACGACCCCATAATCCCTTGCGGGGTGGAGTCAGGGCAACTGAATGGAGCTGAGTATTTACTGGCCGGATATCCTTCCTGTCGCCAGTGCGGAGTTTTGTTCGGCAGATATATTCTCATCATGCCCAGAGAGAGAAATGTCTGCCTCTAACTAGGATTGAACTCACAGCCTCCTGATTGTGAGGCGAGAGCTCCACCTCTAGGCCACCGTACCACTCACATTATTGACCAAACTCTTGAGATTACTAAATTAAAAGGCAGTCACAACAACACAAAAACATATTTTTCCTTCTCTCTCTCTCTCTTGGAATGGGAAGACAAAATTAAGATCGGTGTATTCATCAGAAATCATGTAAATTAAATCAAAAGATAATCTAGCTTCTTTATCGCTCAATCTAGGTTCGTGACCCTGAATTTTACAATACAGGTAGTCCTTGACTTACAATGGTTTGTTTAGTGACCGTTCAAAGTTACAACGGTATTGAAAAAAGTGACTTACGACCATTTTTCACATTTATGACCGTTGCAGTGTCCCCATGATCATGTGATTGAAATCCAGATGCTTGGCAACTGGCATGTACTTATGACGGTTGCTGTGTCTTTTGACCAGCGAAGTCAGATTCATTTAACAACTGGGTTACTAACTTTAAAACTGCAAAGATTCACTTAACAACTACGGCAGGAGACGTCGTAAAATGGGGCAGAATTCACTTAACCAAAAGTCTCACTTAGCAACATAAAGGCTGGGCTGAATTGTAGCCGTAAATCGAGGACTGCCTGTACAACAAAATGGAAATGAATTTGCAAAATTTTGCCTTACGGGAGATTGTGTTGTGCCTGCTCTCTTGCATACAACTTTATTCCTGTAGTGATAATATGTAGGTTTGTCAGCACATCGGTGTTTAAACACACCTGTTGATACATACCTGAGAGCAGGTGCCGTACAGAGGTAGAATTACGTTTGAGAAATTCTTCGTTGAAACTTTCCAAATCTTTGCTAATAAAAATCTTCTCCATTTCTTGCGTAAGGACCTTGTTCACGATTTCTGGCAAATTACTGTGATTCGACACTAGGAATATAAAGATTCAGACGTGCTGTTGATTGTATTTTTAGGAAACTCAGCAGAATTTTACGGCAAAGGGGCCAGTTTTATTTTGCACTTACCACACTTGGAAAATTTAATCAAACATTCATGTAGCCAGGGGTTGTTATCACCGATAGCAAAAGCCCTTTTAACGGACTGCAACATTAGCAGGAACTTTCCTGGATGAAACAGAGAAAAATGCGATTTTATTATTTTAAATAAGGCTATGCAATTGATATCAATCCCCCGTGGGAAGGGGTTTACAACAGGAAAACAGATCCAGGGTGCTCACTATAGATAGTCCTCAACTTATAACGGGTCATCTAGTGACCATTTGAAGTTACAACGGCCCTGAAAAAAAGTGACTTATGACCGTTTTTCACACTTACGACCATGTACCATCCCCGTGGTCAGGTGATGAAAATTCAGACACTTAGCTAATTAGAAAAATGAACATTTTTTAAAAAAAAAAATCCTTAAATTTTTTTTGTGATCTATGTAATTTATATAGTTCAGTTCAATAAGCAGATGATAGATAGATGATAGATATAGACAGAAGATAGAGATAGATTAGATTGATAGTAGATAATAAGATGATAGATAGAAGATATATAGATGATAGATGATAGAGATAGATAGAAGATAGATTAGATAGATATAGATCATCTATTATCTAATAGATGATAATAAAAATACATAGATGATATATATATATAGATGATACATAGATTGATAGATAGAAGATAGATAATAGATAGATAGATGATAAATATATGATAGATAGAATACATAGATTAGATTGATAGAAGATAGATAATAGATAGATGATAAATAGATGATAGAAGATACATAGATAGATTAGATTGATAGGTAGATAGAAGGTAGATAGATAGATATAGATGATAGTAGATATATATAGTAGATAGATTAGATAAATAGATAGATAGATATCATTCTCTATTATCTAATAGATGATAAATAGATGATAGAAAATATATAGATAGATATAGATAGATAGACAATACAGATTAGATTGATAGAAGAGATAGATAGATGTAGATGATAGATAGAAGATAAATATAGATAGATGATACATGATAGAAACATAGATTAGATTGATAGAAGATAGATAATAGATAGATGATAAATAGATGATAGAAGATACATAGATAGATTAGATTGATAGGTAGATAGAAGGTAGGTAGATAGATATAGATGATAGTAGATATAGATAGTAGATAGATAAATAGATAGATAGATAGATAGATAGATAGATAGAAGATAGATATATATCATTCTCTATTATCTAATAGATGATAAATAGATGATAGATAAAAAATACATAGATGATATATATAGATAGACGATACATAGATTAGATTGATAGAAGAGATAGATAGATAGATGTAGATGATAGATAGAAGATAAATATAGATAGATGATACATGATAGAAGATACATAGATAGATTAGATTGATGGATAGATATAGATAATAGATGGATGATGAGAGAGAGGGAGGGAGGGAGAGAGAGAGAGCGGGGGACGGACAGATATGGAGGCCTGCTTGTTGAGCTGGACTATATAAATTACACAGATTAAAGAAATTATGTACATTACATGGCAGCCAAGCATCTTTCTTCAGGATTAATGCACTTATGCAGGAAACGAAACCTATCTGACCATTTTAGCGCTATCTAAAATAGATTTCATTAAACCAACCTAGAATTAACTCTCCTCTTTTAAATTTTTAATTCGTGTGATTTTATAAATTGGGTGTTTTAATCTGTGTTTCGGCCAAAATATTTAATAATTTTAAGGGATTTTTTAATATTTGTATTATCTGTATTTTATCTTGGCTGTTCACCGCCCTGAGTCCTTCGGGAGTAGGGCGGTATAGAAATTTGATAAATAAATAAATAAATAAATAAATAAATAAATAAATAAATAAATAAATAAACAAACAAACAAACAAACAAACAAACAAACAAACTTCCACCTGTATTCTGTACAGATAATTTCAGATGCTAAAAAAATGACACGCACGTTGATCACAATGTAAAATTGAGAGAGTATGCATAGTACATACATCCGCGTTACGAAACCATCTCCTTCTCCCATGTTACAACTGCACGTAGTTTACCTTTCCTGAAATATATTTCAAAGGCTAGTAGATGGGTGTCTATGTTGTCGGCCGCGAGGTTCTTCAGAGGTATAAGGAATTTAATCGCCTCCTCCAAGGGATTTTCCACCTGTCTCAACAACAGAAAACCGAGTAGGTTACAAACCAGAGCACGTGAAAAGAATTTCAAGGAGTAAGCTCGTCATAATTTGGTGCTGGAGTGTTTGCACTTTCCCCCTTTTTCGTAACGTTTTGAGTAGCGTTGCTCCTAGGGTAGAGAGACGTCAAACAGAATAGAAAGGTTGAAGTTCTCCATCACTTCAGGAGACATCTGACTTCTTGGTTCTAATCTACAGGTAACCCTCCACTTATAACAATTTTTTTTTTTTTAATTTGATTTATATGCCGCCCTTCTCCGGAGACTCAGGGCGGCTTACAATGCGTTAAGCAATAGCCTTCATACTTTTGTATATTTATACAAAGTCAGCTTATTGCCCCCACAAACTGGGTCCTCATTTAACCTACCTTAGAAAGGATGGAAGGCTGAGTCAACCTTGAGCCTGGCGAGATTCGAACCTGCAGAAATTGCAGGCAGCTGTGTTAATTACAGGGTGCATTAAACCACTGTACTACCAAGGCTCTTATAGTTAATTCATTTAGTGACCGTTCAAAGTTACCATGGCACTGAAAAAAATGACTTACGACCCTTTTTCACACTTATGGACCATTGCAGCATTCCCCGTGGTCAGGTGATCAAAATTCAGAGGCTTGGAAACTGGCATGTACTGATGACAGTTGCGATCTCCAGGGTCACGTGATCCCTTTTTGCGACCTTCATGCGAACAAAGTCCACGGGGAAGCCAGATTCACTTAACAACCGTGGTACTTACATAACAACTGCAGGGGTTCACTTAACAACTGTGGTGAGAAAGGTCGTAAAATAGGGCAAAACTTGTCTCGCTGAGCAACCGAAATTTTGGGCCCCATTGCGGCCTTACGTTGATAGCAAACGTAGTATTCCTTCCTCAGCTCTTATCTAGGGATTAAAAGTTACAACCGTCATCCAAGTTATAGGAATTGGTTGAGACGAGACACAACTTCTCCCAACTGGAAGAGGAAGGAAGGAAACTAACAAGGGAAACTGGTTCTCTTATCAGAACTTTTAAAACTGGGGTCCCCAACCTGTGGACTGTGGCCCACTACCGAGCTGTGGCCTAATTGACGTTTCCGGGTTGGCGGCCCAGAGCAGGGGCAGAGGAGAAGATTTTGTGGGAGGGGCAGGCGTGCATGCATGCATATGAGCACCCACAAAATTTGCAGCGATGTTCACGCCTATGGCCGAGCCTCGTTGGGGGCATTTGCGGCCCCGTTCGCGTGAACATCGCTGCAAATGTTGCGGGTGCTCGAATGCGCGCAAGTGCACCTCCCCTCCCATGAAATCACCCTCTTCCCCCTTCTCCCCGCTGCCAACCCAAAAATGCCGGGGAACTTTGCTCTAAAGCAGGGGTGTCAAACTCAATTTCGTTGAGGGTCGCATCAGGGCTGTGGTTGACCTCGAGGAGGGGGGGAGGGTGTGTGTGGCCGATTAGGTGGGTGTGGCCAACTGAGTGGGTGTGGCCGGCTTGACACCACTCCCCAAACTGCTGGCATGTTTCCTCTTAGCATTGGGTAGACCAGTACATCGTGGGGCAGATACAGCCCCCTCTAAAATGCCCTCCAAAAAACATGGCGGTCCCCAAAATCAGCTCAACCATGATGGAATCAGACCATGTCTCAGTTCCCAGGAGAAGCTTGCATAAAAATGGATTTGTTTCCTAGCCTTTCGCCATCCTGAAGAAAGAACTTTGATTTTTAGGCTTCTCTCCTGGAGCCTCGCGGCCAATCGGACTTACAGTCCTCGATTTAAGACCACAACGGAGCCCAAAAATTTCCCCGCTAAGCGAGACGGTTGTGAAGTGAGCGTTGTCCTTATTTTACGAGTGTTCTTGCCACCGCATTTAAGCAAATCACGGCAGGTTTGAAGTCAGTCACACCGTTGTTAAGCAAACCTGGCTTCCCCGCTGATTCGTCGGAAGGTCGCGGAAGGGGATGGCGTGACCCGGGGACGCTGCGACCCTCAGAAATATGAGCCACTTGCCAAGCGTCTGACTTTTTTTAAAAAAAAAATAATAATATTTGGTTTTTTATCAGTTTGTCAAAGTATAAAATACAAAGAGGAAAAATAGTGGAAAACTAAGAAAAGGGTGAGGGAAAAGAACAGAAATATAGTGTAAAAAAGAGAAAAGGAAAGAAAAAAGCACCGACTTCTGACTCTCTTTAGCACAGGAGAAGATCGCAATCTTACAGCCACAACTTTTTGCTTTTATACAACAGTGGGTACAAGCGTCTGAATTTCGATCACGGGATGAACATGGAGATGCCACAAGGGCCGTTAAGAGTGAAAAATATTCCTTTTTTTAAGGGCCGTGGTAATTTCAGTCACTAAGTCATCATCATCTTCATTTAATGACCCCGTAATCCCTTGCGGGGTGGAGTCTGGGCAACTGAATGGAGCTAGCAGAGTGTTTACTGGCCGGATGCCTTCCCTGTTGCCAATGCGGAGTTTTTCCCCCAGCAGATATATTCTCATTGTGCCTAGAGAGAGAAATATCTGCCTCTACCTAGGATCGAACTCACAGTCTCCTGATTGTGAGGTGAGAGCTCCACTTCTAGGCCACCGCATCACTCAGTTCGGTCACTAAATGAACTGTCGTAAATTGAGGAGTGCCTCTAATTAAGTTTTTTATGCGTTAAGATGTCAGCACTTCAAGCTGCATTTACTCTAGTGCTGACATAAGAAGGAGAAGCGGAGGCGTCTGGAAAGGGACGTTTGACTTTTCACCTACTTATTTTCCCTGGAGATAATATCCCCTAGGAGATGGGATGGGAGGGAGGAAATTCCTTTGAGCTGGAGCAGTAGATTAGGGGTAGAGTGACTTGGAAGATGGCCAATGAGTGCAGAGGAGTGGGGAATGGAAAGGGAGGGTTTTGGGTCAGGAAGTCAGTGTTGGCTACGATGGAGTCGGAGTTAGAATGTCATGCTTAATAAATGGGAGTTTTTCATCAAAGACTTTGTTTGAAATGCAATTTATTTGAGACGACCTCGAAACCTGACATAAGATTTATCTCCTGCCTCGTTTCCGGGGGAGACCGTGCAGGACGACCAATCTCAGCATCTTAGAATTAGGCAAAAGTGGAGTTTTTACCCTTTCCAGTTTCTCAGGAATTAACTCTTCCTTCAGGCCGCTGGTCTCCTCCTCTTCTTCGTCTCGTTTCTTCTTCTGACTCTTCTGCTGCCGCTCTCGTTCCGCGTGTTTCTTCTCCTCCTCCAGTTTTGCTTTCTTCTGCGCCCGCCGCTGCTTGCTGAGCATTTTCTTCAGTTCTTTGGCAGAAAGGTTTTCTGTAGGAAAAACAGAATTATTTTTTCGTTTTCGATTTTTGACCCGGGTGGGTACCCCCTCCCAATGTACGACCAACAACTGAGCCCAACGTTTCTGTCGTTAAATTGAGACGTTTGTTCAGGGAGTTTTGCCCAGTTTTACGACCTTTCTGGCCACGGCCGCTAAGAGAATTGCTGCAGTGGTTGTTAAGCGAATCTGGCTTCCCCCACTGCTCGTCAGAAGGTCACAAAAGGGGATTGTGTAACCACAGGACACTGCAACTGTCATAAGTACATGCCAGTTGCCAAGCGCCTGAATTGATCATGTGACCATGGGGACACAGCAACAGTCGTTAGTGTGAAAGTGTGTATTTTCACACTACCTACGTAAGTGTGATAAACTTTTTTCAGTGCTATTGTTAATTTTGAACAACCATTAAATGATCTAATGCAGTATTGCCATATTGTAGGCTAACTCTGCCCTCTGCCAGCAATTCGATCCTGACCGGCTCAAGGTTGATTCAGCCTTCTGTCCTTCCGAAGTCGATAAAATGAGGACCCAGATTGTTGCGGGGGGGGGGGGGGGGGGGGGGGGGGGGGGGGGGGGCAAGAGGTCGACTCTGTAAACTGCTTAGAGAGGGCTGGAAAGCAGAGTGAAGCGGTATATAAGTCTAAGTGCTTTTGCTATTGCAAGTCAAGGGCTACCTGTACTCTTATTTACTGATAAAAGAGAATATTTATTGGTCAGGGTTGAAAGGAGGGTTCCTTGGTTGTTTTTTTTGCAGATCTTGCATTACCCAACTAGCTAACAGCATCAGTGCTAGAAGGGAGTTGGGTTTGTGGAGAGGAGGAGGAGGAAGAGGAGGACTGTGGGGTCCTTGGTCCTTTCTGGGCTTTGTTGATTTCTTCCAGACATTTCATTACCCAACTAGATAACAGCATCAGTGCACTGATAATGTTAATGAAACATTTGCCCTCTAAAACCTTTGAAATTCTTAAGCGCAAACAATCCTGATTTCTGGAATTCCCCTTTGGGAAGTGAATACAGATCCTGTATGGCCAAAGCTCAAATACCTGAGTTCACTTCCTGCTCTTTGTTCTCGCTGGCCAAGGGGTTGTCGTGCAGCTTCAAGTAAATTTCTATGGCTGATCGCGCCGCCTTGAAATAAAAAGCGTGTTTTCGTAGCACGTCTTCTAACCTCAAGAGATCGACGTAGGCACGCAAGGTCATCTTCCTCAAACAATAGGTATGGAAGTCAAACTGGTCATCGGTGATCTCAAAGAAGTGCTGAAACACACAAGAGAAGGCAGGATAACCGAGTGGGAAGGGACCTTGGAGGTCTTCTAGCCCAACCCGCTGCTAAGAATACAGTAGAGTAGAGTAGAGTAGAGTAGAGTAGAGTAGAGTAGAGTAGAATAGAATATGGAATGGAATGGAATGGAATGGAATGGAATGGAATGGAATGGAATGGAATAGAATAGAATAGAATAGAATAGAATAGAATAGAATAGAATAGAATAGAATAGAATAGAATAGAAAATAGAGTAGAGTAGAATAGAGTAAAGTAGAATAGAATAGAACAGAAAATAGAGTAGAGTAGACTAGAGTAGTCTAAATTCTGACTGGCCCCATCTATTCTCTGCCTCCTGAGTCCCAGCTGATCAGGAGGAAATGGAGATTTTGCAGTATCCTTCCCCTGGAGTGGGGTGGGAATGGGGATTTTGCAGTATCCTTCCTTGGAGCGGGGAAGGAATGGAGATTTTACAGTATCCTTCCCCTGCCATGCCCACCAAGCCACGCCCACAGAACTGGTAGTAAAAAATTTTGAAACCCACCACTCGAAGCAACCCTTAAAAACATAATAACCAGCGTGGGGGAAAAGAAAAATAGAGGCTTTTTACAATTTTACAAACCCTGCCATTCCTTTGAAAGGAAAACAAAGCGTATTTTCCAAGAAACTGAAGCCCAAATCAGAAAAGTTTGCTTAGATGAGCTGACCACGCAGTGATAGTGCCGGATTCTTTTTCGTTTCTGTTCAGGTTTTATTTTTGTGGTGGGGATTCTTTTAAATTCAGGATCCTTTCCTTGTAGATTTTCTTTGGGCAGTGAGTAATTGAACCCACATTCATTAGGGGAAATGGTATAATCAGGAAAAAAACCAACCCATCCGTTGATCGACTTACCCTCTCAATTTCGTGGCACTGCTTCAAAGCTTCCCCGTATTTTCCTAATCTTTGAAAAGCGAGGGCACATTCTGTCTGAAACCACATACACTGCATTTCATTGAGATTCTCCGTGGCAGAAGTCCCTTCCTGGAAAATAAGAAAAGTACTTTAGAAATAGCCTTAATTCTACTTAAGATTGTCTTCTTTTAACGACCCCATAATCCCTTTGTCAGGTTTCGATGTCATCTCAAATAAATTGCACTCCCAAACAATTAATCTTTGCTGAAATATTCCACTTATTGAGTACGACAGATCTGGCCCCGACTTCGTGGTAGCCATACTAACCCTCTGACCCCCAAACCCTTCCCTTTCCGTTCCCCAATTCTCATCTTCTCATTGGCCATCTTTCAAGTCAGTCTCCCCAGCTTCTGACCTCAACCCACAGGAATGTCCCCCTCCCATCCCATCTCCTAGGGGATATTATCTACAGAGAAAATAAGTAGGTGAAAAGTCAAGCCCCGTCTTTTTATGGCAGCATCAGAATGCTGACACCCTTGCGGGGTGGAGTCTGGGCAACTGAATGGAGCTAGCAGAGTCTTTACTGGCCAGATGCCCTTCTTGTTACCAGTGCGGAGTTTTGTTCAGCAGATAAATTCTCAACGTGCCCAGAGAGAGAAATATCTGCCTCTATCTAGGATCAAACTCACAGCCTCCCGATTGTGAGGCGAGAGCTTCACCTCTAGGCTACTGCACCACTCTTAATTCTGTTTAAGATATCCTGTAAAAATACTCTGTTCCAAAAATATGTGGGTGTATTTGGGGGGGGGGGGACACTAATAAAACTTGTCAAAAAAAGAAAAAAAGAAAAAAAAATAGAGTTGCTATAAATATTTTTATATTGTTCGACTTTATGAATAATATAATAGATTATATTTGCAACAGAATTATTTCTAATGAACTACTTTATGTTGTAGTCCCATGTTTTAAACACTACAAGGAAACGTGTTTTTTCTAGAAATGTACTACTACTTCTATTTAGACTCAATTAAAAAAAAAGCGCCACTTTATGCTTAACAGACATCTGTAAATATATCAAAAGTGTATTTGAGATGAAAAGTGTAAGAAAGTTTATAACAACAGATGCATTCTTTTTAAAAAAAGAAAACAAGCTATACTTCTATTGACCTTTTGTGATAACATAATTATTTTTCTTTTACCCGTGTGAACTTGGAACACATCTCCTCGGCTTCCTTGACCAGATTTGCTCTCAGCATATATTTTGCACACTTGGAATTGATGAATCTGTCTGCCGTATCCAAGGACTGGGCCTCGTCCATCCATCTGGCAGCTTCCTTGAGGTTGCCTACATGCTATGGGGCAAGGGAATCTATATTCAATTTCATTTCATTCAATAAGAAGGGCGCTACGCAGCATTTAAAAAACCTTCCTTTCGCTCAAAACATTAGAGGAGGATAAAATTACAGCCCTCTCTAGCCTATGTCATTAGGTGTAACAATAAACTCGGAATACACTGATTTAAAAAAAGATCATAATTAGAAAACTGTCACGGCTGACAAATCACATCCGTAATTGTAGAGCATTAGAGTGTAAAACAAACCTGGGTTTTTCAGTATAAAACTAAATCTGAATTCCCTTTCTTCCTGATATTACAGATTCAGAGGTTACTGGCACTCTAACATCATGTTCTGTTCTGAATTGACATTTGTGTGTTGGATATCAACCCATTGATATTTTCTACAAGGTCAAATGACTTAATCAATAAATATTCTATTATTCTGTTCCATTCCGTTCCGTTCCATTCCACTCCACTCCCATCTCATCCCATATTTTCTATTCTATTCTATTCCATCCCATCCTATACCATATTTTCTATTCTATTCTATTCTATTCTATTCTATTCTATTCTATTCTATCCTATTCTATTCTATCCTATCCTATCCTATTCCATTCTATTTTCTATTTATTCTACTCTACTCTATCCTACACTATCTTATCCTATCCTATTTTTTTATCCTATCCTATCCTATCCTATCCTATCCTATCCTATCCTATCCTATCCTATCCTTCTGTTCTATTTTCTCTCTTTTTTAATATAAAAGTTCGTTATTTTTATTTCTCATAAAACATATATAAATGTATAATCTCTTTAACCATTCTTATCGCACATATTATCTTTTGGAAGGGTAAGAGGGGAGAAGGAGAGGAATGGTTGTTGTGGAAGAAGGGAGATAGGGAAAGGTAGAAGAGCAACTCCGAATATATTCTAAAGTTTTAGGATGAAGAATGAACCAATATGGAAACCTTCTGTTCTATTTTCTCTGTATTGATTCTACTCTACTCTACTCTACTCTACTCTACTCTACTCTACTCTACTCTATTCTACCTACCCTACTCTACCCTATTCTATTCTACAAGTCAAATCATCCTGCTCTTCACTATCTACCTTTGTCTTTAAGTGCATTATCAAGTTACATGAAATATAAACACAGCAAAATTCACATATTCCGAATATGGGATAGTTAAGGAAGGGCAGTGACCTTATAAATTTTGGCTTTCAAATAGAACAGCTCTATTAACGTTGGAGTACTCGTCACAGCAGAGTTGATGTAATCCAATGCCAAGGAAAATTGGCCAAGCTTGTCGAAATGCTGCGCAAGGAAATAACGAACCCAAAGCAGCGTTGTTGGCGGTTCTTGCTCTCCGTTTTCTGCAACACACATAGAACAATTCGCAACGCTTAATCTAGAAGTACAGATTATCAAAAGGCTCGGTTCTTAAGAAAACAAATTCCCCTGTGAAGATATACCAGTCCAGATTACACTCATTAAACTTTGCATTTTAGCTACGTTCCTCAGCACTGAAGCTTACCATCTGGACTAAACATGTGACAGGTTTTCAAAGAAGCTTCGTAACTAATTACCAGCTCTTGGATTGTTGAAATCTACAAAAGAGAATTAAGAAAGTTGTGTTAAAATATTCCTGGGGTTACTGTCTGAATTAACATTCATTCATTCTCTCTATAAAGCGCATCACTCAATGAACAACAAACATTGCAATTTCTTAACTTGACAGAACCTTAAGGTACTTTCTGTACAACTCGCTGTTGTACATTCTTGAAAACACCTCCTTGGAAAACCACTAGATGGCGATTAAGAGTTGCATGCCTCTCTTTGCTGCCATCTACTGTAGAGTCTTTTTCTGCGGCAGTTATTTTCCCAAATAAAATGTTGGGTATTTTCATTCATTCTTTCTTTTTTTTTCTTAAAATTTTATTCAATGTATCAAAATGTAAAAAAATAAGGAAAAATAAAGATAATGCGAAAATGGGAGAAGGAGAAGGGTGGAGAGAGTGAGAAGTATGGGGTTAAAAAAAAGCATTGACTTTCAAATATTTTCAGCACGGTAGAATAAAGGTATGAACGTTACAGTCTCAATTTTTTTTTTTACTTTTGCATATTTAGCATATATAGTAACCATTTCTGCAATCACACGCTTATCTAATCGGCAAATCCCGAAGTCAGAATTTCACTGTTTTTTTGTCTCGAGCACAGAAGCGTTCCAAGTTAACATAAAATGGAACATATCCTTTTCTTTAAGCATCTCATTCGACATCTCTGCTAGCTCCATCAACTCTTCCATTGTGAGAATTAATGCATCCATACTTTTTCTTGAAGTTACAATGAGTGGTGTAATCTGACTTCGTTGTTTTTTAAACAAGAACCTACTTTCCCACCGGTTCCATCCAACAGATATTACCAAAAAGTAACAATTATTGTTGAATGATTTCTGAAATATATGAATGTTGTTTTATATATATATACTAGCTGATAACCCGGCGTTGCCCGGGTATTTATAGACGTCGAAGCCTTTGTCTGACAGGGAGCCATTGAGAAGGGCCTTTCTTCCCCCTACTCCATGCCCATCATCCCTGCCCCATCCCTTCCCCCTCCCATGCGCTCTCTTTTCCCATCCTGTCTATGATCCTGGCACTTTGCCCCAAATCCATCAGGCGCTTCCCCATTGGTCCACTGGAGGGCGAACATCATGGCTGCCTTTCCAGAGGAAGCTGCGAACGAACTGACATCACAAACAATTGCTGCTCTAGGATGCCGCACTCACTCTCCTTAATGGCCCAGGCGTTCCAGAGTTATGCTGGAACACACTGACACAGACACAGACCCCAGGGGTGTCTTACTTCCCCCCTCCCCCACCCGGTATTTGTTTCCAGATAGTAAGTCATCTGTATACCAAGTTTGGTTGAATTGCTCGAGGCGTTCCAGAGTTATGCTGGAACATACATACATACACACACACATCCATTTTTATATAGAGAGAATATATACAAATGTGTGCATGCATACAGGGACTATAAGAAAACTGACCTTTTCTGCACTGTAGTACAAAGATTTCAAAGTTGTAAACAGGGGTGGGCAACCTTTGCTGAAGTTAACCCTTAGGAATTTATCCAACAATTCTCTAAATTTTTCACCTAGAAGCAAAAAAACCATATAGATTATATTACATAGTAACTCCGTTGTTCATTTTGTATAAACTATGAAAAATCACAAAGATAACAATGTAAAGAAAAAACTATTTCGAGAAGTTCATACTGTAACTTGCACTCCTCTAGAAAAATTACGGAAATTACGGGTCAATTTGCATAATATATGTAGATTGCAGTTAAGCAACCTGATTTTTAAGATTGCTGGGGACAAATTTATTCTCAAAACCCATAATGTACCGTACATGATGGTTTGCTATTCTCGTTTAACATCTCTGGATGGAATTAACAACAATTGCAAAGTGTTCAGTCACTACATAATGGTAGTTAAGGAGATCCTGGCCTATTAAAACTAGTGGCTAATATTAGATGCTGGAATAATTGATTGCGATGATGTAGAATGACACTGAAAACATCCAAATGTATGTGTAAGAATCAGATATTCGGGTTTTTTTGTGGTTGATTCTCATGCAAGCTTTTCAACTTTTGAGAAATAATCTTGCTTTGCCATCTTCAATTTTAGAAGGTGATGCAGTCAATAATTTTAGAATAAACATCTAATTCTTACGCACATAGAGCAGCCTTTTACACTAACTCCCTGGGCTCCGAGAAGCCTCAACAAAACTTTATATGTTCTCACAAATGGGTTCTTTCTCTCTATATAAATGTTTTGCTTGTACTGATGTAGAAAAGAAGGCAGAAAGAGAGGGGGCAGAGTTAAGCAAGTCATCAGCCTAGAGTCATTTCATTCTCATAAACGGTCTAAACCCAACACCTCTTGAATTCTGTTGAACTTTATCTGGTGCCAATTTAGTAACAATGTTAGAAGGAAATGGGGTTTGCAAACCTCACTCCCTTCTAGCGCCGATTATGTTAACCTAGTCAGGTAATGAAATGAAAACACCCAAGCTCAGAGTCTACCAAGGATCTCACAGTTCAACCCTGAGCTACAAATATTCTCCTTTATTGGTACTTTATCACTCCCAAGTATTTTGATCACATTCCTTGCACTCTTACAAGTGGTGGGCCTAGGTAATCTACCGTCAATGGCATTGATGGGCAGATTCAATCATCTTCTCCATCAAGAACCTTTATAGGTGTGTCCAGATATTGAAGTTGAATCAATTGCCCAGGTACCTTTGGAGAGTCAGCTAGTGCAGTGATGACTAACCTTTTCCGGAACGAGTGCCAAAAGTGTGCACCTGCAAATGTGTGCAGGCACGCACCCCCAAAATGCAATGCGTGCATGGCCCCCACGCATGCGCCCAACCCCCGGCACATGCGTGCATGACCCCCACCTCCACACATGCGCGGCAGAGACCCAAAGACCAGCTGGCTGGCGGGAGGTACGTGCGCATGTGCGGCAGAGCTGAGCTGGGGTGACGGCTCGTGTGCCCACAGAGAGGGCGTTGCGTGCCACCTCTGGCACGCATGCCATAGGTTCGCCATCACGGGTCTATTGGTTACAGTACCAGACCAGAAAGCAGGAGACTGTGAGTTCCAGTCCTGCCTTACGTCATGAAAGCCCACAAGATGACCTTGGACCAATCACTAGGAGACTGGGAGTTCTAGTCCCGCCTTAGGCATGAAAGCCAGCTGGGTGATTTTGGACCAATCACTAGGAGACTGGGAGTTCTAGTCCCGCCCTAGGCATGAAAGCCAGCTGGGTGATTTTGGACCAATCACTAGGAGACTGGGAGTTCTAGTCCCGCCTAGGCATGAAAGCCAGCTGGGTGATTTTGGACCAATCACTAGGAGACTGGGAGTTCTAGTCCCGCCTTAGGCATGAAAGCCAGCTGGGTGATTTTGGACTAATCACTAGGAGACTGGGAGTTCTAGTCCCGCCTTAGGCATGAAAGCCAGCTGGGTGATTTTGGACCAATCACTAGGAGATTGGGAGTTCTAGTCCCTCCTTAGGCATGAAAGCCAGCTGGGTGATTTTGGACTAATCACTAGGAGACTGGGAGTTCTAGTCCCGCCTTAGGCATGAAAGCCAGCTGGGTGATTTTGGACCAATCACTAGGAGACTGGGAGTTCTAGTCCCGCCTTAGGCATGAAAGCCAGCTGGGTGACTTTGAGCCAGTGACTCTCTCTCAACCCAATCGACCTCATAGTGTTGTTGTTGTGGGGAAAATAGAAGAAGGAAGTTATGTTGGCTACATCTGCTGCCTTGGGTTGTTTGTAAAAATACTACAAACGGGATACAAATATTTTTTTTAAAAAAAATTAAATACTTTTGGTATCTTTCTAGGAGGTTGGCAATAGCTTCCCCACTAATCACTTGTGTTGGTTCAAAGAGATAGCTGAGTGTTTCCTATTCAAGATCAATATTCCCAGATTCCTAGAAAATTGTGGTTAGCCACAGCAATAACTGTTACAAGCTATTGGATCTGAATAAAATCCAGCTAAACATAGCTTGTCTTAAAAGCCCTTAAGCTTTTCTGGATGCTTTGTCTCTGAAAATTGCTTTTCGGTTCACGGCGGTGTATCTAAACAAAATAAACTCTATATTTCCGAAAGAAAACCAAAGACGAATCTTCCACTGCAGGTGAAATGCAAATGAAAAAAAAAAAAGAATACTTTTTAAGTATCGTGGAGCCATACGATATAAAGAAGGCGACGTGTTACCTGTGACGAAGTTTAAAGGTAGCCTTCGAGGTGAAACAGCCCGTGGATGTCGCTTGCTTATTTCTTCATACAATTCTAGCCTCTCTTCTAAAGAGTCTATTGAGGGATGACAAATGTAAAATTGGGAGTTGTTATGCCTTAAAGTCACACAGTTCAGGGACAAGCGGCAATGTAGAACTCTGTATTCCTGTGCTGAGCTAAATCCAATTATTCAGGCGAGTGAATTATTTCCCTCGCCTGAAGTTTTCCTCCGAGCGGAAAACCTGAATCCATATTTGATTGTGAAAGCATTAAATCTAGTATCTTTATTTCGTTTTTACCAGCAGTGGGTTTCACATATTCTTAACACGGCCTCGAAAACGTGGATAAATAGGACGTCTTTACGCTGGGGCAGGCTCACCCGCGATCTCCACTACCAGTTTGCCCAACCCAGTACGAACTGGCTGAATACCACAGCTGGTTTTTACAAATCATTTTACAGTTCACAACCCACTTCGGAAAACTAGAGAGTTCTGTTGTGCGAATTGTTCATCCCAACACTTAGCATCCCACTCCATTTTCCCTTCATTTAAATTTGGATGGAGCTCAACGTATCCTTTTTAATTCGAGTTTTAATTTAATATGCTTTTTATTTCGTTTCCAAATGAACGCAGAGCATGGAATTTCCCCTCCGATAGAGCAGCTCAAAATTACTAGAAGTAGTACTGAATTGGAGAGGCCGGTTTTCATGAATAACAAACAACTGAAATAGTTAAATATCTCACGTTCAAACAAAGGGACATTATTTTCAAGTTATTTCTTAGAGAGGAGTTGCAATCAAGCGCTACAATGCAACACGGAGTTTTAAGCTTAGAGAGATTGCAATGAATATTTAAAGCTAGCCTTGCACTTACAACCATTTGTTTACTAACCGTTCAAAGTTACAGTGGCGCTGAAAAAAGTGATTTATGACTGTTTTTCACATTTATGACCATTGCAGCAGCCCCATGGCCATGTGATTAAAATTCAAACGCTTGGCAACTGGCATGTACTTATGACAGTTGCAGTGTCCCGAGGTCACACAATCCCCTTTTGCGACCTTCTGATCAGCAAAGTCAAGGAGGAAGCCTGATTCACTTAACAACCAGGTTACAAACTTGAAGAACCGCAGTGTTTCACTTAACAACTGTGGCAAGAAAGGTCGTAAAACGGGACAAATCTCTCTTAACAACTCCCATGCTAAGCCACAGAAAGTTTGGGCTCAAGTGAGGTCGTCAGTTGAGGACTAGCTATATTTCCCTAAACGCATGGTTTCCCATACACCATATTTTTTCAACCCCCCCCCCCAAAAAAAATGCCTGAAGTGAAATGTACAATTCATGTCGCTTACGTGGCCGCAAAGCTTTTTCCAGGCCCTCGTAGTAACTCCAACATTCTGCATTCCGATCAATAAGTTCCCGATATATTTCAGCCGCTTCTTCCAGGCGTCCCAAATTCAGCAGCATTTCACCTGCAGCAATAATACAATCCCACCCGACATTAAAAAAAAAATGGAAAAGCTTTGGACACCGAAAAGGGTCAGTTTTTATATTTGCAATACAGGAGAATAAAGGGTAGCTCAGGGTTGAAATGAGGAGTCCTTGGTGCCCTCTGAGCTTGGTGGTTTTCTTTACCCAACTAGGTAACATCATCAATACTAGAAGGGAAGAGGAGGAGGAGGAGGACTGTGGATTCATTAGTGCTCTCTGAGCTTGGTTGTTGGATAATGAAACATCTGCAAGAAAACAACCAACATCAGAAAAGACCAAGGATCTCATAAGCATTTTCTTTCTTTCTTTCTTTCTTTCTTTCTTTCTTTCTTTCTTTCTTTCTTTCTTTCTTTCTTTCTCTTTTTCTTCCCCTCTTCCTTCCTTCCTTTATCTTCCTTCCTTCCTTCCTTTCCTTTTTCTTTCCTTCTCTTCCCCCCCCCTTCTTTTTTTGTTTCCCAACCCCACTCCCTTCTAGCACCGATGATGTTCCCTAGTTTGGGTCATGAAAGGTCTCCAAGAAAACAACCAACATCAGAAAGGACCAAGGACCTCATAAGCATTTCTTTCTTTCTTTCTTTCTTTCTTTCTTTCTTTCTTTCTTTCTTTCTTTCTTCCTTCCTTTTCTTTCTTTCTCTTTCTTCCTTCCTTCCTTTTCTTTCTTTCTCTTCCTTCCTTCCTTTTCTTTCTCTTCCTTCCTTCCTTCCTTCGTCTCTTCTTCCTTCCTTCCTTCCTTCCTTCCTTCCTTCCTTCCTTCCTTTCCTTTTTTCTCTTCCCCCCTTCTTTTTTTCTTTCCAAACCCCACTCCTTTTTAGCACTGATGATGTTAACCTAGTTTGGGTCATGAAACGTCTGCAAGAAAACCACCAAGCTCAGAGAGCACCAAGGACCCTTCTTACACTTCCTCCTAAAATAATATCAGTAGAGATAATCTGACACCCACATGGTCTACTCCAGCCATAACGTGCCATCAGCCACGAACAGGGCTGAGGTGAGAAAGTGGTCATCTGTGCAGCTCTTAAGTGCTGTCCACGCCCCAATCTTTGTTAGAAATGTGTGAGAACAGCTCAAACGGTGCCACTGTGTCACAGCAACTAGGATCGCAAAACTTAAAACAGCTAAAATGATTGAGAAAACTTATACTTTCTAAAGGACACTTTATAGACAAAGAGACGGCCAAGGGAAAAAATTAACCCCAAACTTCTGATTGAAAGAAAGAAAGAAAGAAAGAAAGAAAGAAAGAAAGAAAGAAAGAAAGAAAGAAAGAAAGCAAGCTATGAAAAATTAAGGCTAGCTAAGGGTTTATAAAAAGAATTTTACCTTTAATCTCGTCTATCATGAGTTTATCGCAGATTTGCCTTTCGTAAGTTTCTATATGGTCCAGAGATTCTTGAAAGAGATCTGCTTCCCTCATCACTTGGTTCTGGTACAATATTAATTCACTATATTCGTAGTCTATTTTGTTAGGGGGCACCTGAAAAAAAATAAACCCATAGATCGGTATTCGGTTGGGAAGCGTTACTGCATCAAAAAGCTATTTTTATTTTTATTTTTGCAAATGAATAAAAAGACCAGAAGACATTAAGTTTAGGAAAAGTCTGCACTTGAAACATTTCAGAGTAGAAACTCATCAGTTGCAGCATTTTTTTAAAAAAAAAATCCATTGGACTTTGTCGCTTTTGATATGGATAAATTCTGCATCAGAAAAGGTTGCTTCCCAAAGATGCTTTTTCAAGAGGCAACTGAACTTTCTTGGTTTTTCTTTGAAGACGTTTCTCTTCTCATCCAAGAAGCTTCTTCAGCTCTGACTGGATGGTTGGGAATGGAAGGATTTATACTCCTTAAGGAATTCCGTCGCTTCTAGAAGAATATAAATCCTTCCATTCCCCACCATCCAGTCAGAGCTGAAGAAGCTTCTTGGATGAGAAGCAAAACGTCTTCAAAGAAAAAAAAACCAGGAAGTCCAGTGGCTTCCTGAAAAAGCATCTTTGGGACAACCATGACCTGGATGACTGCAAATCTCTATTGATTTTCAACTGACAGTAATGGTTATGCCAGCGTTGTAATATATTTCTGCTCATATTAACCTACATTCTAAAATGTGGTTGGGACAGACTTTTGACTCGTCCCTTTGATAAACGGTTTAGATACCTGAAAACTTACTAAAAGAGAGTGTACAAAGTCGAAGTAACAGAATAACGGAATACGGAGTTGGAGGTCTTCTGATCCAACCCATTGCTGAAGCAAGAGACCCTATTCCGGGGTGAAACGGTAGCAGCGGTGGTGCGTGGTTCTGCGAACTGGTAGCGGCTGTAGCGCGAGGCTCCACCCACCCGCCCAGATGTCGTTACTTCCTGGTTAACTAGGAAGTAACCTGTTTTTGACCCTCTGCGGACATGCAGAAGGTTTTGTGTATGCACAGAGAGTCTACAATCGGACCTGACGATGGCACGTGAGCGAAGCGGTAGGGAAGGTAAGTAGATTTCACCTCTCCCCTATACCATTTCAAATGGGTTGTCCAGTCTCTTTTTCAAAACTTCCAGTGTTGGAGCATTTACAGCTTCTGGAGGCCAGTTGTTCCACTGGTTAATTGTTCTCACTGTCAGGAAATTTCTTAATTCTAGGTTGCTTCTCTCCTTGATTAGTTTCCACCCGTTGCTTCTTGTCCTACCTTCAGGTGCTTTGGAGAATAGCTTGACTCCCTCTTCCTTGTGGCATCCTCTCAAATATTGGAAGAATGCTATCATGTCACCCCAAGTCCTTCTTTTCATTAAACTAGATAGACCCAGTTCCTGCAACCGTTCTTCGTATGTTTTAGCCTCCACTTTCCTAATCATCTTTGTTGCTCTTCACTGCACTCTTTCTAGTTTCTAGAATCCCTTTGAAATTAATGAACAGATCATTCACTTCAAACGAAGATTCACTGAACTCAGGGGGTGAACATATAAGATGAGCCTTGGTAGTACAGTGGACTAAAGCACTGTTATTAACATCTGCTGCTTGCAATTACTGCAAGTTCAAATCTCGCCAGGCTCAAGGTTGACTCAGCCTTCCATCCTTTTGAGGTAGGTAAAATGAGGACCCAGATTGTGGGGCAATAAACTGACTTTGTATAAATATACAAAAGTATGAAGGCTATTGCTTAACGCATTGTAAGCCGCCCTGAGTCTCCGGAGAAGGGCAGCATATAAATCACATTTTTTTAAACCTTTTTTTAAAAACCTTGGTTACGTAGGGAAAACCTGGCTAGAAGAAAAACACACATAAACCCTACGAAGAAGTAAGAAAATTGATATATATATATACCTTGTACAAATTATACAACATATAAGGAATCCATTCCAAGTAAATTCATTAGTGTGCTCTATACCAAGGTAACAATTTACTTTCGAAGAACAAAATCGTTTTATGGAAAACTCTGGTTTTGTTTTGTTTTTAACTTAAAATGCAGACCACATGTGATGTGCGGTCCATTTCTTCTAGCTGAAACAAAAATTAATTATTAATTAAAGCAGTGTTTCATTTTAAAAGCCGCACTTCATTTCCCTTCAGGCTTTGGCGAATGTAATTTTTAAATATAACAGAAGAGAGAAGCATGGAGAAATTCAGCTGCTCAAATTCTTATCTGCGGATATTAGGCTGGGCCCCTTCGGAATAAAATCTTACCTGTTGGGTTTTCCTAAATTCTTCTAATAATTTTAAGGCCATGTCGTAATCTTTTAACAAATGATATGCAATGGCATAGCCAATCCAGGATGCTCTCTGAGTGGGCCGGAGCTGAAGTAGTTGATATCTGGTTTCCTTTAAAGAAACAACAAAACGGTATTCCAAATAATGTACATTCTTAATCAAAGTTTTATAATCAATGATATGAAGGATCAAAACCCTCAGAAATGCAAAACTATCAGAAAATCCAAAGAAGGCTGTCTCGGAAATAAACTTGAAGTTTTAGATGATTAATTTTAACTATCTTCTTTTGAAATTCGCTATCTGGGTAAGAGTTAGAATGAATGCTATTTCATATATATTGGCAGAAATAACAGAATAACAGAGTTGGAGGGACCTTGGAGGTCCTCTATCCAACCCCCTGCTCAAGCAGGAAACCCTCCACCATTTCAGGCAAATGGTTGTCCAATCTCTTCTTGAAAACTTCCAGTGTTGGAGCATTCACAATTTCTGGAGGCCAGTTGTTCCACTGGTTAATTGTTCTGTCAGGAAATTTCTCCTTAGTTCTAGGATTGTTCTCTCCTTAATTAGTTTCCATCCATTGCTTCTTGTCCTGCCCTCAGGTGCTTTGGAGAATAGCTTGATCCCTCTCTTCCTTGTGGCAGCCCCTCAAATATTGAAATACTGCTATTAAGTCTCCCCCAGTCTTCCTTTTTTTCATTCATTCATTCATTCATTCATTCATTCATTCATTCATTCATTCCTTAGGTTGACTCTACAAGCTACTTAAAGAGCAGAAAGAAAAGCCAACCGAAATGTTAAAAAGGAAAGAGGGGTTTTAAGGAAATGGATAAAACCAGGTTACCTCATTGTCAAACTAGAGCTAGACAATTAACAAGAAGGCCAAGCATTACCAGTAACAGAGAAAATTAGCGAAGCTTTTGCTAAGAATCTGCCAAATCACCGCCTTACCTCTATGGGACGGGAGGAATCTGAATTCAGCACAGGGTCAATCATATTAACTTTTACCCTGCTCGAGCCATTTTAACAGATTAACAGAGTCAGAAGGGACCTTGGAGGTCATCTAGTCCACCACCACCCCAAGCAGGAGACTCTACCTACACCATCTTAAGCAGTAACGCCTGATCCTAACCAAACTGAACTAAGGAAAATAAACGGACAATTTATTGTTAAAACTGCCCCGCTGGTATTAAAGGACACAATGGACAAACAGTAAAGCGAGAACATGCAAATTTTCTACCCAGAAGATCCTTTTGCATTATTGTTTGTTTGGCAAAATTGTGTATGTACAGGTGGCCCATAGATACAAGGTTTAAGATACTATGAAAATTAAACTAATATGTAATTTTCCATTTCATTGATATAATTCAAATGCCTCTGTCTCTCTCTCTCACCCTCTCTCCCTCCTTCTCTCCCCCCTCTCTGACTTTCTTTCTCTCTCCCCCTCCGTCTTTCTCTCTCCCTCCCCCTCCCTCCCTCTCTCTCTCTCTCTCACCCTCTTCTTCTCTCCCTTTCTCTCTCTTTCTGTCTTTCTCTGCCTCCCTCCCTTTCTGTCTCTTTCTATCTCTCCCTCTGTCTCTCTTCCTCTTTCTCTATCCCCCTCCATCTTTCTGTCTCTCGCTCTTTCTCTCTCCCTCCCCCTCCCTGTCTGTCTCTCTCTCTTCCTCCCTCTTTCTCTGTCTTTCTTTCTCTCTCCCCGTCTTTCTTTCTCCCTCCCTCTTTCTCTATCTGTCTCTCTCTCCCTCCTTCTCTCCCCCTCTCTGACTTTCTTTCTCTCCCTCTCTCCCTGCCCTTCCGTCTCTCTCTCACCCTCTTTTTCTCTCCCTTTCTTTCTTTCTCTGCCTCCCTCCCTTTCTCTGTCTCTCTTTCTATCTCTCCCTCCGTCTCTCTTTCTCTTTCTCTATCCCCCTCCGTCTTTCTGTCTCTCGCTTTCTCTCTCCCTCCCCCTCCCTCTTTCTCTGTCTGTCTCTTCCTCCCTCTTTCTGTCTTTCTTTTTCTCTCCCCCTCCGTCTCTTTCTCTTTCTCCCTCCCTCTCCCTCCCTGTCTTTCTCTGTCTGTCTCTCCCTTCCTCCCTCCCTCTCTCTTTCCCCTACAAATCCATATAGAATTTCAATATGTGTTTTAAGTTCCGCGCACAAATGGGATTTCAAGGCGACAAGGGTTGACTGATTCAACGTATGGACTCACTCTGTATCCTTCGAGGTCTCTCATCTGGATCTGCAGCAGGGAAAGATCCCGGAGGATTTGCAGATTGTCTTTATCTAGCTTCAGGGCATTTCGGTAGCACTTAATCGCTTCGTCGTACTTTTTATCGGAGCGCTGCAAGAGTCCGTAAACATGCCAACCTAACAAGAAGGTTAAGGAAAACAAGACAGGCCCTGGTTGCTGAAAACAAATTAGGCCGACATTAGTGCAGACCCACCTCGCGGATCACGGGGTGGGGTTGAGCCTTAGGAGGTCATCCAGACAAGAAACGCAGCTCTAACTTAACAGTAGCAGCTCTGATTGAACTAATTGATAAACAGAAGTCTGATGTTATACAGGTAGTCCGCAACTTACAACAGTTCCGTTTAGTGACGGTTCAAAGTTACAATGGCACTGGAAAAAAGGAGCATTTTTTCACACGTCAGTTGGGCACGTCCGATGTCCCCATGGTCATCATCATCATCTTTTAACGACCCCATAATCCTTTGCGGGGTGGAGTCTGGGCAACTGAATGGAGCTAGCAGAGTGTCTGAATGGCCAGATGCCATTCCTGTCGCCAGTGCGGAGTTTTGTTCGGCAGATATAATCTCAGTGTACCCAGAGAGAGAAATATCTGCCTCTACTTAGCAGCCTCACGGTGACGTGATCAAAATTCAGATACTAGGCCACTGACTCATATTTACGACGGCTGCTGTGTCCCCGGGGTCACACGTTCCCCTTTTGTGACCTTCTAACAAGCAAAGTCAACGGGGAAGCCACTTAACAACTTAACAGGCTGCAGGGATTCACTTAAGAACTGTAAGGAAGAAAAGTTGTAAAATGGAGCAAAACGCACTTAATACATGTTTCACTTAGCAGCAGAATTTTTTGGGGGTTCAATTGTGGTCGTACGTCAAGGAGTATCTGTATCTCCCCCCCCACCCCGCCTTTATAGTCCAAGAAACTAGGGAAAGTCCCTTCTCTTCCCCAATCTGATAAGGGAGAGTAATCTTAAAAAAAAACAAACACCATCACTTTAATTCATTTTGTGTAGATGAAATACTGGCCTATTTCATAAGGAAGTTTGAGTACAGACCTATTCAACAAAATAAATAAATAAATAAAACCGAGGTACAATTTCAAAGGATACAAACATGACTTTTGACATCGTTGCGTAGCCCTTTCCGAACAAATTCGTACGCGTCTTCTTTTTTTCCTAAACAATTCAGCGTCAGCCCTTTCATGGCCAAAGTCTCTGGAGAGAGAAAGAAAGACGGTAAACTTTTTGAACGGTGAATCAATTTTTAAATGTGCTTTAAGGAAGTGCAGAGGTAAAAAGCTGAATTTTCCCAAAGATGGCACAATTTATTTACCGTATTTTTCAGAGTATAAGACGCACCATTTTCCCCCTAAAAGGGAGTAAAAAATTTGGGTGCGTTTTACACACCGAATGTAGCCCCTCCCACCCACTGGCCTCCACCCTTTGGCCTCTGCCTCACAGCAATTTACCTCCTTGCAGCAAGCAGCAAGAAGAAACAGCCCATTTCAGCTTCAGCACAGCCTAATTAGCACAAGTTGATTGTCCTTTGGATCGGCCTCCCAACTCTCAGCTGTTTCAGGCTGCAGGGATTGCCATGACCTATTGCTGCGCAGGCCTCTGCTGCTTGCTGCGAGGAGGTAAATTGCTGGGAGCAGATTTTTTTTTCCTTGTGCTAATCAAGCTATGCTGAAAACGAAAATGAAAGTAAAGCAGGCTGTTTGCTGCAATGAGGCAAAATGGCTGGGAGGCAGATTTCTTTTTCTTGTTTTCCTCACCAAAAAAGGTAGGTGCTTCTTATAGTCCAGAGCATCTTATACTCCGAAAAATATGGTATTTTTTTTATCCAAGGCAGAATTTCCATCCTCTCTCACCTACCCACTGAAATATATCAATCTGAAGACCCAAGTGATCTTCCAACTTGCCTTAACAAACTGCATTTTGAAGCGAGGAGGATAGGAAAGCTCTAAAACTAGGATAATGAAGAGCTAGGATTTTGTAGAGATTCTCAGTCTTCCAGGTCATGTTTGTCCCAAAGGTGCTTTTTCAGGAGGCAACTGGACTTCCTTGTTTTTTCTTTTGAAGATGTTTTGCTTCTCATCCAAGAAGCTTCTTCAGCTCTGACTGGATGGTGAGGAAGGGAAGGATTTATACTCCTTGCAGTCAGCTGTTCATTTGCATCCTTTTAGAGGGTCGTTGAAGCACCTGGAGGTTTACCTGTGTCCTCAGGGTCACCTGAGTGGTGCAAATGGTTCCTGTAGTCTACAATTTTTCTCTCTGGAAATCCATTCCTACTCCCACCCCATTCAGAGGGTTCTTATCCCAAATGTTCATGAACTCTGACAGTTCATCCAGCCAAAGCTGAAGAAGCTTCTTGGATGAGAAGCGAAACGTCTTCAAAAGAAAAAAAAACCAGAAAGTCCAATTGCCTCCTGAAAAAAATCACTTTTGGGATGAAAAGTTAGGTTTTGTCTTGGTTTAAAAACGGAGATTGTGAATGTTTTAACAGCGGCTAGAATTGTGTTTGCTAAAAACTGGAAAAATGAGAAAATACCAACGCAAGACGAAGTTATTAAGAAAATCATGGAACGTGCTGAAATGAGTAAATTGACATTTAAAATTAGAGAGCAAGAAGATAAACAATATTATAAGATATGGGATTTATTTTATCAATGGCTAGATAATAAAACATGGAAATGAAATATGAAACATGAAACGTTATATTTGAAAATAATTTTTATGAAATGATAAAGCTATAGTTAAATAAATGATAAACGAGGATTCTTATTTGTTTGATAATATGAGAAATTAGATAATAAATTTTGAATATGGGGATGAAGCACAAAAGATTTGTAACTGACCGACACACTGCTTGCAATTATAATGGATGATGGATTTGTTTTATGTTTTGTTTAAAAAAAAAAAAAATGGAGATCCTGCTGTAGATGCTCTGTGTTTCTGCTTTGTGACTATCAGGCCCTCTGGCTCCAGATCACCATAAGATTCTTCACTTGGATCTCAAGATTCCTCTGATCCCTTCAAGGGGATTACAAGGTGGGAGATCTCTGAAGGATGATCAGGTGTTGGTCTTTCTCCTGAATATGGGAGAGGAACAGCCACCACTGCTTCACATACAGGACAATTTTGGATTTTAATTCTTTTATGTTATGATCAGCTACTTCCGCTTCAACACTTCTCCCAAGTCATGGACTCTTTTTGAGATACACATATCAGCAGAAATAGATGATATAGTGGACAATCTTATTTCAAACAGCCAAGGAAAAATCCTATTTGAACACTATAAAAAATATTAACACAAAGAAAGAGATTTTTTTTAAATGAACTTTTAAGGGTAAGGTTAAAATCCAGGTTAAAAATACAAGCATAGACAGAGACAATCGTTCACAAAAGTAAATATTTTTTAGCGGTCCTCTCTCCATTTTGGAGATTTCTTACCTTTTTCTAAACAAAAAAAAAAAAAGAGGAGGAGTCCATTGAAAAATATGAGATATTATGCAGGTTAAACAGGATTAAAATTGCTCTGTGATCTCATTCTGCCGGATGTGATCGATGTTTTCTTCAGAAAAGTCATATTCAAAATTAGTTACTTTAGGTTTGAGAATGGAAAGGTCTGTTGATGGTGTTTTCAGTTGTATATAAAGTTCTGATTTAGGATTCTAAACAGTTTCTTACAAATATGAATACTTCATCTACAGTAATGGCCAAAATTGTGGAAACCTTTTGGGAAAAGTGTATTTTTGAGGTTCGATGGCTAATACCACCACTTTTTTTGGGGGCGGGGAGTTTCAAGATAATCCTATTCCACTGCTGGAATGACCTGGGAATAGCACAGACCTTCACCCAATTGAAAATCTATGGAGCCGACTAAAGAAACTGGTTAGTCAGAAGCGACCCAGCAATCAAACCCAGTTAATAGAAGCCATCATTCCATCTTGGTTTCACATTAGAACAGCTGCAGAACTAAAAGACTTGGTTCACTTCATGGGAATATGTTGTAAGGCTGTAATTCATGCTAGTTACCCAACTAAGTATTAACTGACATGGGGATCATTTTTGTATATCTCGTTTTTTCTATGTGTTTCACTTTTTCTTCTTTATACTGCAACTCCTATTCTAACAGCAAATCCTTCATAAAAGTTATTGCATTACATTCCTGACTAAATTATCTTTCCATTGATATATAATTTTATGGTACTATTCCAAAAAAAAAGTGGTGTTATTAGCTAGTTTTAGAAAATACACTTTTCCCAAAAGGTTTCCACTACTGTATTTGGTTACTAGATGTATAGCATCTTATCTCCAACTCTCAATGCATCAACGTAATTAACACAAGCTTTGTGTCGTTACAACAATGGTGAGTTCACATCCATAAAGTATTTGTAAGGCAACTGCCTTTAAACAGCTCTTGGTAAACAAAACATCATTTTAAGGAAATAAATTTAACCAACATTTCAAACGTACCTCCATGTTCAGCAAACTTTGGATTAGAGAGAATCATTTTACAGAATTTGAGACCATTTTTGTACTGTTTTTGTTCATAACATTTCTAAGGGGGGAAAAAAAACACAGAATGACAAGGAATTAGGAGACCCGAGTCAGCAACACATCCTGCACACACATACAATATCTGAACATATGAATTTGAACTGACCAGATTAATGTCCGGCGCAAAGAATAAGGGTCACCGGTGAGGTTGTAGCACTGAAAATTGATTCAAAGCTAGACACAAGAATCTGGTCAACTCAAGTTCAACACGAAAGTGGCGCCAGATAAGAATTCAAGGGGATTTAGGAGGAATTGGAACATTTGTGGCAATGTAAAGATTCGAAGCTAATGGCGCATTTAACGCCAACCCCAGTTCTGACTGCTCTTTTCCTACAGACAGTAACCATTTCAAAACGCTACAAACAAGGATGGAAGGACTATTCCAAAATATTGTATATTTCTGAGATACTTTAGAAGATATTCCCTAGTTATAAGACCCATTAGTAAAAGGAAGGAAAAGAAAGATTAGCATATTAGTCATTATCAAACTGGAAAGCTACAGGAACCGATGGAAAACTCACTGAAATATGACAAAGTAACAGAAGGAGAACTGGCTGAAGTTCTAATCAAACTATACAGATAGATCCATTTAGTGAACGTTTTGAAGGTACAACAGCACTGATTTATGACCGCTTTTCACATTTACGACCATGGTCACATGATTTACTCGGATGCTTGACAAGTGGTTCATATTTATGACGGTTGCAGTCTCCCGGGGTCGTGTGATTCTTTTTTGCGACCTTCTGACGAGCAAAGTCAATGGGGGAAGCCAGATTCACTCAACAACCATGTTTCTAACTTAACAACTGCAGTGATTTACTTAACAATTGTGGCAAAACTGGCCGTAGAATGGGGGTTAAACTCACTTAACAAATTTCTCGCTTAGCAACTGAAATTTGGGGGTCAATTGTGGTCGTAAGTCGAGGACTACCTATATTATGATTAATGTACCATCAGCCACGAATAGGATTGAGGTGAGAAATTAGTCCTCTCTGGAGCTCATAGCCTTGGAGATTGTTACAATGGTTCAAATGGTGCCACTGAGTCACAGCAGGGAAAGGACAACGAGGATCACAAACCTTAAACAGCTAAAATCCTTGAGAAATGTTGTATGTCCATGGAGATTCTCAGTCATACAAGAAAGGACGCAAAACTTACTTAACAAATATCCCATTTAGCAACAGAAATTTGGGGCTCAATTGTTGTCATGCCCCAGCATATACCATATTTTTCGGAATATAAGAAGCACCTTTGGGTGCATTTTATGCTCCGAATGTAGCCCCACCCAGCCTCTCAAGCTGAAAAAAACCTCAGAAATGAAGCTTCAGGAAAAAAAAGCCTCCAAACAGAGCTTCAGAAAAAAAGCCTCTGAAACTTTGTTTCAGAGGCTTTTTTTCTGAAGCTCTGTTTCAGAGGCTTTCAGAGGCAGGAAAAAAAGTTTCAGAGGCTGAAAAAAAAACAAGGCACAGAGCTCACAACCAACAAACCTATTGCTAAAATTCACCTCTGGGAACAGCTAATAGGGGGTATTCTGGGAGGCCGATCCACCCACCAATCAGCTTTTTTCTTATTTTCCTCCACAAAAATTAAGGTACGTCTTATACTCCGAAAAATACGGTAATCTTTATACTGTTGTTGCTCTCTAGTGGCCAGAGGGACAAACATGCCCCAACATAGGATCTTTATATACTGTTGTTTCTCTCTAGCTCCATCTAGTGGTCGGACAGACAAATACCAAGTATTGTTTGAAGCTGACCCCACCCCATTACCTATCAGCCCGCAGTCTCAAACCAAGCGCACATTGGAAAGTCAGACTCCATTTCCTTTAGCATTTGGAGAAGGCAAAATGGGGATGTTCCACCGATGGCTATAGGGGGTGAGGTGTTGCCCCCTATAGGGGGTGAGGTGTTGCCCTGTTGACAGGGCGTGCAACTTAGATGTCCTCCTGGATTCACGGTTGTCTCTGGAAGATCACATTACGACCATGACCAGGGGGGCATTTGCCCAGATTCATCTGGGGCGCCAGTTGCACCCCTACCTGGACCGAGATGCCCTACGCATGGTCACTCATGCGTTGGTCACCTCCCGGGTCGACTACTGCAACACTCTCTACATGGGGCTGCCCCTGAAGATTACTCGGAGGCTTCAGCTGGTGCAGAATGCAGCCGCGGGGGTAGTGATGGGAGTGTCCCGACGCTCTCATGTTACACCCCTCCTGTGCGACCTGCATTGGTTACCGGTTGCCCTCCATGTGAGATTCAAAGTGCTGGTGATTACCTATAAAGCCCTACATGGCTCAGGACCAGGGTATCCCACACAGAGGGCCTACTCGGGGTGCTGTTGGCCAGACAGTGTTGGCTGGCGACCCCTAGGGAGCGGGCCTTCTCTGTGGGCGCACCTACCCTCTGGACTCAGCTCCCCCTCGAACTCCGGATGGCCCCCAACCTTCGCTCTTTCCACCGCGAACTCAAAACATGGCTATTTCGCCTGGCTGGCCTTGACTGATGGGGGTTTTAAAATGGATTTTAATTGATTTTAGGGATTTTATGTGTAACTTTTAACCCGGAGTTTTTGTTTTATTTTTCTGTTTTATTGTTGTGAGCCGCCCTGAGTTCTCTCGGAGAAAGAGCGGCATATAAGTCTAAACAAAGTCTAAACAAATATAAGCACAAAGAACAATCCATCTTCATCTGTGGTACATGGTCATCCAAGGACAAACCCACATCCCACACACAGAGCATCGCTGGTGAAATTTAAATTTCCTTGTATTTAATTGTTGTGTTCAGCAGTAACTCAATACTGTCTATCTTGTATTTGGCTCTCATTGTATGTATCCCTATTTTCCCCCATTTCACAATATCCTCTTCTTTCAATAAAGCATTCAGATCTATGCACACCGTCCGTTTTATTGGAGGATAGGTGGGTTTAGCTCAGTGGAGGGATTCAAGTAATTTAACAACTGGTTCTCTGCCCTAATGATTTCTTCCAACAACCAGTTTGCCAAACTGCTCAGAAAGTTAATAACCGGTTCTCCCGAACGGGTGTGAACTGGCTAAATCCTACCACTGGTTTAGCTGCATGTCGAGCTGCACGCAGACCAACGTCGTGAGGACAGAACAATTGTGATCTCCGGAATTTGAGAATGGCACAGCGGCTAACATATGAGGTCAACTAAAAATCCCCAAAAGGAGACTTAACGGAATGTGCAAACTATTAATTCAATCTCTATAATTTTGCATAAAAGCGAAATGATGCTGAGGATTAAGAGGCCGGGATGGAAAAGAGACGCCAGATGTTCAAACTGGCTTTAGAAAAGGCCGAGGGATAGGAGATTTATTACTAATGCCTGCTGGATAACCGAGAAGGCCAAAGACTGAGAAAAATAAGTCAGTATGTATTTTATCGATTAGAGAAAGGCATTTGACTGGGTCGGTCGTCTCAAACGGTGGGACGTGCTTTAAAAAAATGGGAAATCTAGAATATCACATTGTTCTTATGCAAAATCTACACGCAGAGCAGGAAGTCACCGTACAAATAGAATATGGAGAAACAGACTGGCTCCGGGTTGGCAAAAGTAAGAGATGAGGCTGTATATTCTTCCCTTAGTTATTCAACTCACATACTGAATATATCTTAAATTGGAATGGAAAAAGATTAGCATGGTTTTAAAATCTGGAGATAATAATCTGCATTAGGAAGATGATACTGTTCTGATAGCTGAAGATGCAAAGGAGCTGCAAGTTTTTTGAAAAAAAAAAAGTCAAGAACAGAATGAAAAAATGGGATTAAAATTAAACGTAAAGACAAAACTACAGGAAGTCCTCACTTACTGACCATTCTTTCAGTAACCGTTCTAAGTTACAACAATAACTTTACAGTCCATTTACAACCGTTGCAGCATCCCTCAATTGTAGGATCGCCGTTGCAGTACATGTTATCTTGTTCTTGGCCAGTGTCTTTTCCCCACTTCCCTCAGCAAAGAGATAGGAGAGAAAGGAATTGCAAGAGAGTAAGCTATTAATTCTTCTCCACATTCAGAGCAGAAGTGCGAACATCTTACTGTCTTGAAACCAGTGGTGGGTTGCTCCCGGTTCGGCCGAACCGGTAGTGGTGACGATGTGATGTCACCGAACCGGTTTTCTGTGACTGGGAGCTGTGCCCTCCCGCCCGGCCCCGCTTTATTCCTACCTTTATTTCTTGGTTTTTAGCCCAGATGATAGGCGCGACAGAGTGGATTGCCATACCTCAACTGGGCAGAAACCTAACGCGCAGCTAACGCGAAGAGAACCGGTGGTAACACCAGTTGGAACCCACCACTGCTTGAAACCTGTTCCTTTCCAATTTCTCCGCTCGGGGAGATGGACTCAATGACAGTGGCAATGGGTAGTTCCAACATCCAGGAGAAAGTCACGGAGAAAATTTATCTAAGAGTCAACACCAATTTAAAGGCATACAATCGATCGACAATGGAAATGTTTGTCAGTGCTGAATCCTGCAATTAAGAAATGTGTAAGCTGGCTGGACCCAAAACACCAGTGAAAGAAACACCATAGTATACTGCCTTGAGTTTTTTTTTAATTAATTAGTCTAGTACAGGGGTGCCCAACCCCCCGGTCACAGCCCGGTACTGGAGTGACCAAGGGTGAAATGCTCTGAAGTCTGCTACCGATTCGCTTCGCGCATGCATGGACGCTTCACGCTCATGCATGCCAAACACACGCTTCACGCACACCGCAGGCGCCAAGAAGCCTTTTCTGAGTCTGCAAAGGTAAGTAAAACAGCGAGGTGGGGGGGAACAACTGTGCCACGTGATTTATATTTGCTAGAAAGCAATTTTAGCGAATATAAATTGCGCGGCACAGCTGATCGACGCACAGCTGATCGTCGGAACTTTTCTTTTTTACTTTTTAAAGCATTTTTTAAACTACCAGTTCCAGTGAACCGGTAGTAAAAAAAAATGCTTAAAAAGTAAAAAGAAAAACTTCCCACGATCAGCTGTGT